CGAAAACCCTACTTGAGGCTTCGGAAAGGTAGCTTCTGTCTATACAGTGACTGCTTTAGTTGATCCATATAAAACCTAATAAATGGTTAAATATACGCTACCTACAAATACTAATCTCATACACGATTCATGCACATTATTTGGCTATGCCAAATACATTGCAAAATTACAACATATTACTTTGATGACTAGAAATTAAATTTAAGTTGTTAAACGTAACATCAATCACACTTATGTAATCCATTGCCTTCATCATAACTGCGTGGCTTTTCTTCTTAATATGGTTGCAGTTTTGCTGATGCAACGGCATACCTGACTGATGGTTCCCGCAAGGACATCAGCATTATTTCCTTTTCATATCACCATTACGCAGCCCCAAATCGTCGTGCAACGACATTTTTACGACAATTGTATCACTGCAAGCATTACTTTTCTCCTTTATCGATTATTTATCAATGTACTGCGTTAAGTATAACGCATGCGTTGATGTTGACGATTCTGCGTAATGATGGTTAGTTAATGATGCAGATATGTTTGTCTAGATTGTTGCGTCTGCACAGGCTGGTGCGTAACATGGGCGTAAGAACTACTATAGTGTATAGGAACCAGGTGGTTCGTAGTCCACGCTTGCCCTCCAGAAACCTGCATCTGAACGCCAGTAGTTCCGGATGTGGTCGGATAGCCACTTACCAATGTCGAGTGCGCTAGAACGCCTCCCGTTGGATGCGGGGCCACAACTCCTTGAGCAGCCACGGTAACAGCCCCTCCAGACATCGAAGCTTGGCAGTTAGCCAAGGTCGTCTGACCTGTTACAGTTACCTGGCCTGCGACTGCAATTTGATTATCAACAGTACCTTGACTGGCAACAGCAGCAACCTGGCTCGCAATGGTAACCGGGTTGGCTGACCCCGCGACACCGATCGGATTGGTCAGAGCGATCGTATTGGCAATTGGTACGGCAACAGGATTGTCTGTTACAGCCACGGGCGTTGTAGTCGCTAGCATCGTGTGTCCGACAGCTTGACCCACTGCTTGATTGACGGCAAGCCCCACCGCAACCTGTGCAGGGGTCATTCGAGGTTCTTCGACTCGAGATGTGTTCAGCACTGTTAGCGTTTGCCCGTCGGATATATCGTGTTCCCTCACGGGTGGCTCGACAAGCAATCGAATCGCTTCTTTTATTTTCCCCAAAGCCAATCTCCCATTTGCAACTAGGTGTTTAGAACCAGTATGTGCGTGGACAGCTTGCGATGCCCTGACGTCCGCCAAAAGCGCACAAGCTTCCGTCATTGTTCGTTGCATATCATCGGCAGATGCCGGTCCCCTCAATTCCTTCCCAAGAAGACTACTAGCCGGTAGTTCGGCATCTCGTAATCGGTCAAGGTCTTTCCGCAGCGGATCCAGTTGTAGGGCAGCAGCGCATGCGTCGACTTCTTCGGAAAGATCGATGTTCTTCGACACCGCTCCGTCGCCATCAGACTCTGTCGGAGCGGGTCGACCAGGATCACCGTCAGCAACTGTCAGTGCGGTTTCCGTTGACGTTGCGTGACTTTTCAGAGATGTCTGAGTATTAATTAGTGCTGTAGTGGGATCGTGGATAGTCAACGTCGAGGCAGAATCCTCGGCTGTGACGAGTGCTAGCGAGACTGGGTCTAACAGCTGGGTTTGACCTAATCCCATAGCACGACGCCACGCCTCGCGTGCAAACGAATAGCAGCACTTTGAGTGGGCAGATTTAGATGCATCCACCAGAACTCTAGCACGAACTCGGCCGGTGTAACGACGCAATTCCGAAAATGCAGCCTAAAACGCAACGTGGATATTCGAAAGCGAAACTCAAAGGTATTAGAAACCAGTAAGAACTGCATCGTTACCGATAATATGTGCCCTGGTCACCTACTCTAGATTAATTCAGATTTACGATATTGCCAATATCCATCTTTTCAATAACAAAAAAGGAGTGCATTTGATCACCTGGAGACGTATTCTACAGCCTAGGTGTTCTTACCAGAAGGCTGGATTCATCTGCAGCTGTCGAGATGATGTGGACAAGAGTAAGTTTACTCGGACTGCTAGAGCCCCGTTGGCTGCTAATGTGAGTGCTATTGTTAGTGCCGCTGTTTGAGTGACCTTGTAAAACACCACTCAAGTCCTTGGGTTGTGGGTTTAAAAGCAGCGCTACCGTAGTCAATTTGATGCCCTCCAAAAGTGACTCGATGGACAATGAATGCTGCTCCGTCAAACGGCTCAACAGCCGAACCTGCAATCATTATTTTTGTAAAAAAAAATATTATTATAAATCTTAAACCAATTCTAGAAACAATAGCCATAACGCCACTTACGCGTAACGCGTGAATAAGTAGGTATACGAGCATGGACCTCCACCGGATTTCTCATGTGCTATGTAACTATGAATACTTTTATTTCATGTAAATATTTTATCTTGTACAAATTGTGACCCATACCACACCGCTGATATACATAAACGTATTCTTAGATTAAATGCAATAACTCTCAAACGAGAAAGGGATGTGAACATATATGGTCGAGGAAGAAAAATCAACTTATACGTATTTGTTAGCCCCTAGAGACAGAACAGATCTAACCGAAATGAGTAGTAGCCTACCTGGTGTAAATCACAAAAGACAACCAGGAAGTCGTCGCGCAATAACGATGGATGGACTTCATTAGTTTGATGGATATCTTTGCAAAGGATAACTGGACGGGATTCTGATTCGGCAACCGAGGCCACGTGACGACGAACACTAACCAAATAATTGAATAATGCAACACATTGTTAACATAATTTTTTATGAAAAAATAAAATTTCGTCTAAATTTTGTTTTATCATAGAAAATTAATTGTACTCCTAACGTTTGACAATATTGTCTGCAAAGAGAAATGGTACTGAACATGAACGTTCGTTATCAGCGTTTCAAATTTACCTATGCAGAAAGCAGGTGGCAGTCAAATTCCATTGAAGACAGGCACTTGAGTGTTTTAACGTATAGCGAACATCAACGCTACCATCGTTGAAGTCTTCGATCGCTTTGATAAACACTGAACAGGCTAACGGATCCGCTGTTGTAGCCAACGGGCAAAATTCGCATTCGAGAAGTCTAAAGGAGACGTGCGAAACGGACGGCATAGTGACTCAGCGCGATCCTGTACTCACTAACTTAACTTGCGACTATATTTAAGATATAAGTTTCTGTTATTGACAGTGAAAATGCTATAAAATTGTATTCCGAAAGATCTGTTCAATACCGTCAAAAGATGCTATAATACCAATTATTATACCATCAGTTTAAAATCCTAGCAATTCGTAACGAAGGTATTCAAAGCTGTTGATAGCCAGATCTGTGAATACTTCATAATATAATAACAATATATTACGTAAAATATTTATTTCGTAATATTATGCAATTAACAACCATAAGTTAGTTGAATCAATGACCGCTTACCGACACTCGACATCGGGCCGTCTAGGGCAAACCCACATCGTGGTTCGATTCCGGCCCTTTGTCTCTTCGCGTATCTTTACAAGGACTCGCCCTCCTTCGCACTCCTGTTGTGTGCGCCATATATGAACATCTGTAGTGCAAATAAAGCGTTTTCACACTCATCGTTCTTTTATTGGCTCCATATTCAAAAGTTGTAATTAAAAGTGGCAAGGTGAAGTTAAACAGTACGTGCAGTATAAGTGGCTGTTACTGGGTGCATATTGAACCCTAATTCTATTACTCCTGGTTTAGGCAACTTGCGAATGGATAATAATAATAATGGCAGTTTAATCATATGCTGACCCCGCATATATTATCAACCTTCGATTTAAAAGCTGGCTGATAAAAAGACAAACAAAATGTACGAGTAGCTAACTCAAATAACTTTATAATATATGGCTGTCTTTCGAGTGTATTCGAGACATACCTTTCATGCTATTAAATCGGAGTCTTCCAAGAAAACCGTGAAAGTCGAGATGGTTTTCAACCTCTGAATCTAGAGCGCGCATGACCACACCGCATTCCCCGCACCTAAATGGTTTGAAATCTTATCCTTGAATTTACTTAGTTGCGCAAACCGGTCATAAAAACCCTCTAGACTATTTTTTTGATTAAAATACATACTCGGTAAATTGACGTTTAACTAATAATATAAGCTTATAAGATCATCACAACACCTACCTCGCTGAATTGCAATCGACAAGAGGCTGTTTATGTGCCACCCGAAGATGCCTAACAAGGTTAGCCCATGCCCAGAATGTCTGTGAGCATTCTCCGCACCGATGAGATTCTTCACGAACACTGTAATTTGTGATACATTTAAGCCCAAATGTAAGCTAAACTCATATCACGAAACTACAGTTCTAAATCCGAATTTGAAATTCAAGCTGGAGTAGAAATCGCGTTGAAATAAAATACTAACGCTGCCACGGAGTTGCCCGTGTCGATAATTGGTCTCGTTTCATCCTGTTCCTCACTCCGCTGAAGCGGCTCTGGACTTTCTGACGCAAAATCATCTTTAACATCCTCGTCCCCAGCTTCATCATGAACGATGTCACCTTCCGCTAATGGCCCACGGCCACGGCCTCTAGCGAATGCCTTACCTGCTCGTTTTCGCTTCTTACGCGGTTTACGAGGTTTGACAGTGTCCAGCGGCAAAGTTCTCTGCACCTCTGGAATGAGGCCAATAGCAGACTCCAACGATTTCTGAGAACAAAAAATACATGAAGAGGTTGATACGAACGCACTCGTAACTGGACTGGCGGTTACTGTTATTACAAAAAGATAATTAGTTTTCTTACCGTGCCTAAGGTGAAAGACAGTTTCCAAGATTAAACCTTCTTTTAAGTATAGAGCCCTCCTATATCTTTTTAATGGAACCTATTATGCACCGGTGCTATGGGAAGCTTATTACCGAATATGTTGTATACCTATCTTTAGGCCTCCTGTTCTTCTTCCGCTTGTGAATTTGGTTCCTGCAAGCTTAATGTTCTGAAAAAAAACTGAGAATATTTCATATATTATATTCAAAGGGCGATCAAGGCTATCAAACTTACCAGGAAGCTCTCTTCCACGCTGGTGCCCGTTGTTAAACTATTACACAAATTCTCAAGCGTCCGGATAGTACTCAGCACCTAAAAGTGTAAGCAAATAAATATTATATGGTACCCTGATTTTGTTATTGTCTGGTAAATCCGCAACAATAAATGTAAACGAAAATACAAATGATACTGGAGCCTAAATTAGACGCAACATGTTATAGAGGGTCATACGTGGAACCGAATGGACCCCACCTCTGAAAGTTGTTTTCCCCATCGAGAGATCTTTTCACCGTCCACCGGAGATCTACGAATATTGATGGCTGCTTTCTTTATTTCTTTTTGGCGCTCCTCACTATCCTGACCGCATAGTTCAGGAAACTGAATAAAGTCAGAGATGAACAGATACACTTAACGTAAAAACAGTGGGTAATGTACTCGAAATTGTATATGACCAAGTTGAACGAAACACTTCTGCCATGGCACAAGGTTTTACGTAGATCCCTATAAACATACACAGTCTTTCGCAACTTTTTTGCCTCTACAGTTGACATCAAAAATTACGCATCTGGTTGTCAATAATTTCTGTCGTGCACACTAAACAAGTTGTGATCACCTCTCGAAGAACTTCAGCCGCTGTGCGGGTACCATCATAGAGTCTCAAGCGTTTGCGAAGTTTTTCACGTATTCTTCGTTTATTTAGATCCGCTTCAGAATTGTCGTGCCGATGAAAGGTGCCACAGCGTCGCAACACGAGCATTGTGCCCTGCTCGACCAATGCGCAAATCACGTAAAACACTCTTTTTTGTAATTGCCGGTCAAGCAACGTAGTGACTATTAAATTGCTTCGTTATAATGCATCCCTCTCAAATTCGAATGTTGTAAGGAAACCATATAAAAATATATACTAATGTTAATAAACGCTGATGCAATTTTGAATGAACATTTGTTTCATAAAACTTATTTTTACCATATCAGCTGTTAAAGTAACTCTACAGCCGTGATGGGCGCAGGCAAAACGCCTTCGATTTGTATCTTTATCCTCGGAACGAGCGTACATCAGATAGGGTCCAGTACCCCGAGATCCATCCTGTTTCTGAAAGGGACCTCGAGGATCGAGCCATGCTACTGCGTCGCCTCTAAGAAGTGAAAACATAATACACTTAATAATAAAACGTAAAATAGAAAATAACTATTTCAAAGCTCAAATTGAAGCTGATGCACACATATATTGTGTCATACTTTCGTCATACAATAATTGAAGGACGATTACGTAGCGCAAAATAAGACATTGAGAAGCAGCACCAGCACCTATGTACAAAGATATCTACAGAATGCAATACTCGTTACTATAAAATAACTAAATCGAACACGTAACTTATTGCTGAACTTGAAGGCTGGATTGTACCATACCAGAAGTAAACAGCGGCCAATAGTTTCGTTATGTTACACTTAATTTGTGTATACATTTTTTACATTTTTTAGAAGAATCCCAACAAAAGATATAAATTCTATAAATTTAGACTATTTATTATTATATTATCATAAACGTATTATTATATTAATTATAAAAATATTATTATATTAATTATAAGAATAGACGATTTATCTGTTTTACCTAAGACTTGGAACCGGTTGCAGCTTGACGCCTGTTTTTTCCTGATGCTTCACAACAAATACCCCACATTTTAGCACGGGAGGTAAAGGTGGCACTCGAATCTTAACCTGCCCGCGTTTCTGGTCCGATCCTTTTCAATAATAGAAGACCAATGAGCAAAACAGTCTTAAATCATCAAATGCATATTTTTTGTTATGTTAGAAAAATTCAACAGAACATTTCGATGCTACTTTGCTTTTAACCCGATTCAAAACCCGTTCAAATAGGGTTTGGAACAGAGGGTGCTCAAGCCCTGCTGCTTATATCAGGGTTATGTGAAGACAATAATCGAAGGTAACTTGCCTTCTTCGCCTTCTATGGTCTTCTCGACGCTAACAGTGTAGCTAGTTGGAAGCAGTGTCGGTGTACTTTGACCTGCTGAGCCCTCCTGCGCTTCGACGTCACCGTTTGACGAGATCGTTGCGAAGTCTCGACGCTGTGCATGCGTACGTGTGAATATGGTAGCGCATTGACCAACCATTGACATGGAAAGTATTCAACAAAAAAGGACAACTTTCTATTAAATACCTGAAGCATTCAGCAAATTTCTTAGGATATGTTACAATTTGTTTAATAAAAAATCTTTAACAACAAGTAAAGCAATACATTTCGGTCTAGCATTTCGCATTTACGAATTTTATGGATAGCTTTACCGGCCCACTTTCAAATGCGCTTTATCAATAATTTCAGCTTATATATTTAGTTTTAATAAACTTTTCATTATATTTTAACTAGTATTTTATTAACCATTTGAAGGTTGAGGAACGAGGGACGACTAACTGGTAATTTTCCGTCGTTTGAGACAGGAGCGTGAATCTGCATCATCCGTGCGATCACATCAGGCATTTCTGTCGGCTAAGGATAACAACAATTAATTAGGTAAAGCTATTTACCTATCTAACAAATTGTGTACCTAAAAATCAATCTGAGTTAACCAAATGTAGAGCGTTCAGCTCAGGATTCTTGGACAGCTACAAATTTTTTGTACCTGATCACTAGATTCGGCGGATGTGGACGGGGACTCTTGTTTGACCCTACTGGAAAGACCCAAACGGGAACCCGGTAGACCTGGCCTTAGACTTCCTCTCAAGCCTGTTCCAATATTTGAACCTAAAACACAATACGTCATATAGCTCCTGGCTTACTTCTTAAAACGAAAAATTAGAATCGTGACACGAGACAGGAAAATCATCAGAAATGTTTATCAAATAAACCACCGGGTATAAACGTTTACAAACATGTTACAAAACCTTAATAAACACTAATTCCACACACAGCATTGATCTGATGCCGGAACGAATTTAATATTCGGAGAAGTTTTATCTGTTAGCCAAGTATGATTAATGACAAAAACCTAACTCCCGACTTTTGACCACTTGAAGAAACCATTAAAAATCAAAGCTACACTCGATGATTGAGCTATAAGTTATCAATATTTAAAAAAAAAAAGGTATGTTTCTCTTTTAATCCTGCTCCTTTTGTGGAAATCGGCTTTGTAATCCATTAAAGAAATTAAGGATACGTTATATAAATATCTATAATAACATCTTTTAGGAGGCGTTGCTACGGGCTGTGAGGTAAGCAATCTATCACGCTCAGCCGGTGTCATTCGGGAAGCAGTTTGTTTATACGGCGGTCTTCGGGCAGGTAAATAATCTCGGACTGCAGGCGGAACGATCTTTTTGGCACCTATGGAACTCACGCGTACTATAGAAGGACCGCCAGGCCGACCTGTTAAATCAAATCGCCATCGATAGTTATGGAACAGACACATAAACGTTGTCAGTAATTGCCAGTTACTAATTACAGCTGGGCAGAGGGCGATTCTGAGGCAAAACTTCCTATCTCTACATTTTAGTAGCGGTTATTTATTTACTAAAACATCCAATGAGGTTGATTCTATAGGTATATAACCTTTTGGGCAAATTATGTAACCCATTACAGAGATGTCCTATGAAGCATTAAAAAGGAAACGTGAATCTCGTCTGGTTTTTTTATCGTATCTTTTTTAAACTAGTTGAAAGTCTTATGTAACCCTCTGAGGTAGCCTAAGCCGGGAACTGCTTAGTCTGATAATTTGAAACGTCAAGAATAGAAAAAGATTGCCGTTTTTTTTAAACGCTTCACATAGTGTTTCTGTGGCATTGAATGGCATGCTTTTCCGAACATGAACAAGTGTGGCAACAGACACCAAAGACTAATTATAGTGCAAATGATTAGGTAAATTAAAATTGCAATAATAATTATTATTATCATCAAATTAGATCCATCCTATTTCTGATATTAAGATAAATCTAAAACTGAACTTTCGAATGAACTTATCGTAATGACCTAGCAGTACTGTATGGTATAAAAAAATTACTGAGACGACTCGTGTAGCATGTTATACTATATAATACATATCTCCCTATTAAATTACCCACCAAGAATGGCCGATGCCCCACCAGATGTATTGGAAAAAGGCCGGAACCTATTAGAAGCTGGATACGAGGATTGCAGTAACGTAACTTTGCTCTGTTGCGGAGTGACCGGTTCCGCCTTTGCTCCACACATAAGAAATGCATGTTGAAATGAAGTCATGCGCCTTCTCTTCGGTGTAGGCGCTGTGAACAGAGGATATTGCATAAAAATTAGTAATATATTAATAACCTTTGCGTATACCGCTGCCACCATAATTTGGTAGAGATGTTACAAAACTGCATTGTGCGACATATCCGTCAAGAAAATTTTTATATGATAATCTCCCTGCAGCTGAGTCCAAGTGACTATGTTAATAGAGGTTAAAAGAAAGCAGCGGCAATTGATTACCTGTGGGCGTAGATGAGACTGTCACCTGATTTGCCTGTGAACTCTTCGAATTTGTAGAACGGTCTTTTTTTGTTCGAGTTGATGTTTTTGCCTGTTCTACTCGTCTTCCTGCAGTAACTGTTCGAATCGCAGCTGGCACTCGGCTAGAACCGCCACTGGCTGACCGTAATGGTGGGCGGCTTCGTGTGGTTCGTGGAGTTCCATTAGCTACGGGAAAAAACTTATAAGAACGACGCCTACTACGCGCGGCTTCTAAAACCTAATTAATGTATTTAGTTAAGCGTTCATTGGAATACTGCTAATTTTATTACACTGTCGCCTATAAATAATAGCTTTCTGAGAAAAGTCGATTTTTTCTAAAAAAAAAAAATCGATAGTTTTCGATACGAAACGACAAGTACGTGGTAAAGGCTGGTGCAAACTGAAAAATTTGGCGTTCTATTGATATAACGATTAAAGAATAGCACCCTGTTGTCCATTGTGGTCTTTTACTTCCGCTTTGCCTTTTTCATAAAAAGGAACATCGAATGTACCCTTTGTCTAAAACCACACTTTTTTTCTTTTTTGAAAGTATCGCTTTTTTATATGCAAACAAATTTAATCAAAATTATAAACGAATTTTTTTCGAGTATTTTTAACGATTTTTTTAACGGTCGATTAATCAATGCGATAAACTTGTATTTACATATTTGTATTATTATAAAATAACTAAGTGTAGAAAAATTCAATCCTAATCCGTAAAAAATAACTATTTTCTTGAAGTACCTTCAAATTTCAGTTTTCCCGCTTTGGTTTATTTAGGTTATATAAAAGCAAAATAACAACCTTGCGTAGTAACAGCATTTGTAGACGTAGTTCTTCTGATTGGCGGTACATTTTTACTCGTTGAGGCTACCACGGTACCCGGATTGATAAAGACCGTTACTGAAGGCTTGGATACAACTAATGGTGGAGGCCCAGAATCTACCATGGGGTTCGATTGTGCACTCGGTACAGAGATTTTATTGTTATCACTGCCCGTTACGGTTAACGGTAAATTCTGACTTGAGCCCGGTGTAGTAGCTCCGAGTGAACTCTGAGAAGGGGCACTTTGCATTACGAGTTGGAATCCTGCAGATGGCACAATACTTGGAACTACCGTGCTATTGGCTATTGTTTCAATACGACAGTTTTTATTCACAGCACTCTCGAACACAGCAGACGCAAGCGCTGACGGGGCTACACCAGACATATTCCCGGCCTGGTGCTCTGGGTTGACCCCCTTCCCCTGTTCAATGGAACAGCACCTTTTAAACTAATTTACGCTGAACACATCATAGTTAGCCCATAGTGATTTGGTAGAAATTTATAAAACAGAAAGAGGTGAAACACACATTAGATTCATAATAATCCATGGTGAGCATATATGAAATTAACGCACTTCAGACATAACATTTCTTCACGCTGTAGACGCGCAGTATTGACCGTAACACGTTTATCTAAATGGCCACATGCAGGATTCTCCTACACGAAACATGCCGCTGATTCACAAATGGCGACGGATTTATCGGTCGTGCACAACAAAATTAGGTAAAGTTGAACTGCTTCACAAACGATTGTAAAAGACAGACATTATTTATTTGAGCCAATTCCAATCCTTGCTTAATGAATTTCACTCTGCTTTATAAACCTGCGATTAATCACAAACTTTTCTTCCAAAAGAGAACAGAAACGCTAACAAACTCCATCGATTTAATCATATGCAAAATTTACATTTTCGAAATGTAACTTTAGAAACAGTACAGGCGTGTATTAGAAGCTCATTTGGGTAGTGCACTGTCTAACATACCGCAAAGCGGGCAGCTACTGTCATGTCTCGCCAGCACTTCGACATGCAGAGGTGGTACGTTGAATATGACGTGGTTCATGTTATATGATTTACCACAGTTACGCGCTATTAAGGCCATGTGCTTCAACTTAAAATGTCTATTATTGCAAGGCTCTTATGGAACGTATCAAACACTGTTGCTAATTGTCTGCGTTATAGTTGACTTATGAATTCGCGCGGCTCCATTGGTAGTGTTTATCAACAAAAGCATACGATGTCCTTCGACTTTATCCAGTTCGAAAAGTCTTATAGTCGCATGGCGCCGGCCCGGTAAAGTGGCATTTGTTATTCTTCAGATGTCCTGCCCTCCACTATAAAGTAACTGATAGAAGAGCAACGGCTGTTATAACCAAACCTCTGAAATTGCTTTTTGTGTATTAAAAAAAACTGCATAACCATCATTCAACTTGTACCTAAAGGTATGTAAATAAAACTTTAGTTTTGAAAACGTATTACATTTATTTAGTAGATATGTCTTATTAAGAAACATCTAGACTGGAAAAATAGGGCAAAAATGAAGGAGCTGGCTTGTTCGTCGAGTGCATTTTATTTTCCCTAATGAAAAATTCAGATTCAATCGAAAATTGAAAATTGAAAAAGAGTTTAATATAATATCTTGTCGATAAAAACATGCATCCGTGCATAAAGCTGAAAAACATAGGGGGGCCAAATTGGTGGTGAAATGGTGTTTCGGTAGCCTATCAATCTATTAGTTTATATTTGGTAATAGTAAGTAATACAAATATTAAGGGAAATTCGCATTATTTGTGGCTAAAAAACATGAGATCGCCAAAAAATGCTTTGTTTTTATTTCTATTCCCATGAGGACTTCCAAACAAAGAATAATTTTCTGCTTACTATACTTTGAGAGATCACTGCTAGAAATAGTCTAAATGCTTCCCCTACTATTTCTGTCTATGTCAGGATTTAAAAAAATTATATATAATCGGAACAAAGAAACTTTAAAACATGCATTTTTTCGCATTATCTTGCAAGTTTTAGTTACGATATTTAAATATTTTCTCTTTTATCGTCAAAAAATTTATTTGTGACTAAATTTATAGGAAAATCGATTTTTTTCTGCACTGACCAATCTAATCCATTTATGTGCACTTCTAAGGTTGAACAGTAGATTATCCTCTATCGTGGCACAAATGCTGGGTTCTTTGGATATAGTTTTCATAAAAAAGCATAATGACAACAGAAATACAGCTTTATTTGTAAAATCCTTCATATATGTATACTGTGATTGTGATTCTGAGGACGTCAAATCTGTATTATCACAGATCACTTAAAATGTTTGACACAATATTTATTACAGCTTCGTTCTGCAAATTGTTTCAGCTGAATTATAGCTGAAGGCGCCGAATTACTTACTTAATAAACCTACGTCAATTCGAATGCTAAATGCTTTGCGCTCACTTTAAATAATATTCCTAATTCTAGAAAGGCCAACAATGGTGTGCGTAATCGGATTCGAGGGTTCTGCTAACAAGTTGGGAATCGGCATTGTGCGAGATGGGACGGTTTTAGCCAATCCCCGAGTGACTTACATAACTCCGCCAGGGGAGGGCTTCAAACCTGGTCCTACTGCCAAGCATCATCGTCAACAAATTCTAAAGGTAGCCCAAACACCCCGGCCTATTCACCTATAGCTAGTATGATATTGTTGTAGAGGATTTCTAAGGCTGCATGTGTAAAAAACTGAGGTGATTATTTCCGGCTTGTTGCATCGTTATTCTGCCGCAGGCAGTCTAGTAATCCTAACTGAGAAGTTTTTCTTTATGTCGCACGAAATATAGGTAAAAGATGAAATGGTCTGATATTGTTGAATTGTATTTGGCTTAAAGCCAACTACTATTTTATCGTATCGTTGCGCCTTCAATGTATTGCAGGTTCTACGTAAATGTCTTGATGAGGCGGCCATTCCCATAACCGAAATTGACGCCGTCGCATTTACGCAGGGCCCAGGAATGGGCGCACCTTTGGTTAGTATAATTTAGATTTTTTCACATTTCTTCAACAAGTAGGTACGGTAGATTACAAGTCTTCCTCTTTACGAGAAGTTTCTTAGACAATAGGCGATCCTACGATATATACACTATTGAATATCATTTATATAACCTCATTGGTGAATATATTGAAAGTTAAACTTGGCTCTATTTGCACTTTATTTAAAGTATCGTCAAATAGTTACTCAGACGTATCTTGGTATAGTTAAACTATGCCATTCCCTATCTGTTTCTTTCAATAGGTGTCAGTTGCTGTGGTGGCCCGAACTGTTGCTCAGCTGTGGAATAAGCCACTATTGGGTGTGAATCACTGCGTTGGTCACATAGAAATGGGCCGACTTATCACGGGAGCAGATAACCCAACGGTTTTATATGTCAGTGGTGGCAATACGCAGGTGATTGCTTACGCCAACAGAAGGTACTTTTTTAATCTTACCAACAGACAAGCAACGCTCCTGTAACTGACAGGTTGTTTGAAAGATGGGCAAAGTAATGTTCACAATGGTTTAATTATTAATTTTATACTTACCAGTACTTATTATCAAATACGAGTTCGAATTTTGAAAAAGTTTGTTACACTACTAGGGATGACCAGCTATTCAGTTCGGCTCATTTTTATATGTTGGATCTTCTACAAGTTGAGTGAATTATACCTTATTTAACATAAACTTTTTACGACAGGTATCGTATTTTCGGTGAAACAATTGACATTGCCGTTGGTAACTGTCTGGATCGGTTTGCGCGGGTGCTTAAGTTGAGTAATGATCCCAGTCCGGGTTACAACATTGAGCAACAAGCCAAGAATGGTACGTGGGATTGGGAAGAATCACCTTGGAGTAAACGTATTTAGTGGTCTTTGTTAAAAAGAATGAATTTACTTCATTTCGGTTTTTCCGTTCCGTTTGAACTGTTTTCTCATCAATGTTTGTAGGCACAAAGTTTGTTCCTCTCCCATATGTGGTAAAGGGGATGGATGTTTCTTTCTCTGGTCTACTAAGCTTTTTAGAAGAACGAACAGAGCAACTCCTGAAGGATGGTTATACGCCTGGGGATCTCTGCATGTCTCTGCAGGTATTCTACGGAGATCTTACATAATTTTTTCATGTTTTATCATATATATATATATATATATGATACTGTGATCCCGATAAAACGTCGTTGGCAATTTTTAGAAATATGCGTACGATGTCTGACTCGACATAGGTTTGCTACGAATTATGACGTTAATTAATATGAACATGATCCCTTCGAAAGCTTGTCTAACAAAAGAGAAAAAGTGAATAATTTAGGGTATTTTTAAAGATATAAAGTATAAAGATTCTTAAATAAACCTACGCATGTCATGCGTTACCTTAACAACACAATCGATTAATGTGTAATACATAATTAGTTTCATCATTTGTTTTTATAGGAAACAATGTTCTCTATGTTAATTGAAACAACTGAGCGAGCTATGGCTCATACCGGAAGCCAGGAAGTACTCATCGTTGGTGGGGTAAGTTGAGGTAGGTATATATCGGCAAGGACTGTCAGATGTTATACAACCAAAATTGGTCCCTCTTCATTATGATTAGAATTTCATTATGACGAAAATTTCAGAATCCACCCATGAACTAGGTATACATGTGGATTCTTGCTTTAAAAGCAATAACTATCTATTATAGATTATCGTAAAGAATAATCCAACACCAGTTAGAAGTTGTTTGAGCTCTGAGATAGAATTACAATTCTATTTCTTTTGAGTCGCAGGTGGGTTGTAACAAGCGTTTGCAAGAGATGATGCAAAAAATGGCAGAAGAACGTGGTGCAAAGCTCTTTGCGACCGACATGAGGTACTGATTTTAGTAAAATTAAAAAATGAGGAGTAGCATACTTTCATTTCTTGCTGTTATAAAGAGAAAAGTAAATGTTTATATTGGTTATATATAGATGAAAATCGGTTTCGGGCTAATATACGTTCTGAAGTTTAACATCCTAAATTGAATATAATAGATGAAAATAAATTGATAAGTTTGATAAACTTTTAGGACTATCATGTTTCTTCTTAACCAGTACGTGAGAAAGAAGGAAAGGCCTTTGATTATTTAGAACTTAATAAACCCTTAAGAGTATATCTATTAAAAGTAGTTGCAGATTGAAAAGATATCTATGTTTCGCTTTTCTATTGTTGCAGATTTTGTATAGACAATGGGGCGATGATAGCCCAGGCGGGTTGTTGTATGTACGAGGCTAAAATGGTAACTGCCATCGAAGACAGTGCAATAACACAAAGATACCGAACTGATCAAGTCGAGGTTCTCTGGAGAAATTAGTTACCTATCCGTTCAGTTCAGAGTTATAACTTACATGCTATTACCTTATGTTGATTTTGTCATATATCAAGATTGTATAAAATATTGTTTATTTTAAAAAATGTTAAGTTAAAAAATGTAGCTGTAACAGGCGATGTATAATAGAGTGACATATTAGATAGATTCCTAAAAATGAATCAGAATTTGTATTCCCTGGAGGTAAACGTTTTGCTTACTTTAGTATAATATATCGAATAATGGGTTATTTTTTCGTCAAAAAATGAAATCATATCAGTATTTTAACATAGAGAGCAGTTTCAAGTAAACCTTAACTTTTAAGTAAAAATTAGAAATTCTATCGAAGTTACGGTTTAAGTTAATTATCTACTGTCCTTCATGTATTGTAATTGATCGTTTATATCGAAAACGCGTAGTTTGAGCATTCAATGACACAGCTTTAAAGCTTTGAAACCAACCGCTACGAGAACGTGTTTACCTGATTATGTTTCCTGATTATTTTACCTGTTTTCTATCTGATGATCAGCCTGATGAGAGTTATTATTATTTTAAACCAAAATCGGACTGTTCTAGCACTTTAAAAATTTGTTGGTTGAGAGGAGAGGCACGTCATTCGACCAGCCGTTGAATCATTCGGCTGAGTTCCTATGAGGCACCCTATTCCTGTGACAGTTCGATTGGAGGATTCAAATCGTTGAATCTTCTTATGCAACACATACTAAATAAAGTATACATTTATCAAAGCCAAAACGGTCTTTCTTTATCGAGCAGAAACACAAGGGTTTTACCTTATGTATAGAGTCAGAAGATTTTTATCGTCTAGCCCTGCTACATACGAGGCCGAAGAAAATCTCTGTTTATCTCAGGAACCATTTCGTCATTAAGCTTCATCCTTTGATACTGGTACATTGTGTTCATATAATATTATTGTGTGAATACGTACATTGAAACGAAAAGATGAAGTATAATTAAGAAAAAATTTCAATTATATTACTGAGTCAAAGTTCTATTCTATTTTCTATCCTACAAGATTTTACAAAAATGCCAAATCACAAAGGGATGGACAACATGTTCGTGTGTAAAGCATTTTCTGCGCCTCTACTACAGCGTGTTAGTTAAGAAGTTAGTGAAAGTACTTTACTCAGATGGCAAGTCACAATCAGGTATTAAGAATATAAGAGACTATTTAAGAATATAAGCGAACACAGTACCGCATACTAGAGAGCAATGTATTCCATTAAAATATTGATAAACCCAGTCTTTTATAGTTATTAAAACACGTTATTATATACCATGTATTATATGTTACATATATTACCATATATATATCAAAAAAATGCAATATAACTTGTATCTAAGACTATGATAAGCCCTTGTTTATTAAAATTTCTTACTCAGGAATCTGTTCATAATCAATCTAGTCTGCATTCAGGCAAAATACGTTTCACATGATTTGGAAGCTCTGCGTGTAAATACTGCGTTGCTTTTTATTATTGTTCAGGGATCTGGTTGCATCTAAAACCCAAGGATTAAGTAAAATGTCTGGAATAAAATGTACTATGGCTAGTAGCGAATAAATGGGTAAGATTACACCAGTTCTCGCAAATATAACATCAGAGTTTGTCAAATGATAGCTAAGCAATTTGTACCTCGAAGAAACTTTGCCATCTTCCGTTAATAATGAGTGAGTCCGGCTTAGATGGCCGGATCCGTAACACTACAAATATGAGTTAATCCAAATGGTTCACTTACTTAAGTTCAACTAAAAGTTTTAGTACTTGTGGCATTTAATACGTCACGTATTTACCCACACGTAACTACGCGTAGTTATGTTTGCAGCTATTTCCTCGAGTACGTTAGTATGGAAACCTTAAGACGCTATTCATAGTTTGTCATACCTTGGTTAAAAACAGTAAATTTTATGTTTATCATGCATGTTTTTCGAAATAGCCTATGCTTTAATCATGTCTTGCTTATGCTTACTAAACATAAGACGATATCAAAGTCTTTTAGGAAAATTTGATTGGCTAAGTTTGTTGGTGGGACCCACGGCTCTTGAAGCAAACTCAAATGATATGCTAATATCTTGTCTCGATACCTCGCTACTTAGTGTGGTCACATTAAGATAGGCAAGTATTATCTTATCTTTATTTTATTGTATTATGCGACACCAAAGTTTCGGTGTATTGATTTTTGCCCTCGAAAGAGTAAATTACTCTACTTTACCCGCTATAAATTGCCATAAGCTGTTAATTAGATTTTGATTTGACATATTACACAATTTAATATATTATGAAGGGCCTAAATATATATTTTATCGATTTTTGGGTAAAAAATAAATTTTGAATTATTTTGATGCCCTTGTGAACCTAAAAAATACGCCGAGGAAATTGCCAGTATGATTCCCCCAAAAAAAAGAACGGGACACAGCAGAAGGGCTAAATTCGATTTCAATACATGCTACTATTATCATTATACTGCGGTTTATATCCGGTACTTACGCTGTGAGGCATTACTCCAAGCGGTTAGACCCTACCAAAATAAAATAAACTGTCCGTAGTGTACGTAACGTACATTTGAATTTGAATTAAGGATTCAAAGCAGAAAATCACAAGATCAAATTCTGTTAGCCAAGAACTATATTGCACCACCCCTAATCATACACAATACGTGTACGCTATAGGATTTTAAGTCCGTAACTTGTATTAGTACTCTCATCTGAATGTAGCCTAGTACGTCCAAGCATGTACAAAGGGGCCTGTAACCGTGCGCTAAGTTTATTCTTTGGAAGTCGATCGAGCAACGACAAAAATGCTTTAGTCAACAGCTCAATCGAATCTGCCGCTGCCAGTTATGCGTTCTTTAACCGCAATAACTCTCGGAAGACAATGTGACGTGAACGGGTAACGAACAGCTACAAAGCTTTACGTCCGCCTTGTACACTGACGTAATTAAAACGATTAGTGACTACTGGAAACTTTTTCTGTGAAATAATAATAACTTATTGATTCGGTTTGTCTACAAACAGCTAGCGTTTTTGTAGCTGCTTAATACATTGTTAACCTCATGGCCTCAAAGTCAACAGCGTTTAGAATATGGTCTATGATCATCTTAAACGTAAAGAGATGTTTTCGACATTACAGAGGTAACAACAGGCGAAATAATAAGCAGTACAGTACAGCGCGGAGCAACTCAGGCCATCCCTATGCGTAATAAGTAGATCAACATGTAATTAATCAAATCTTTTTGTCAAAAATCAGAAAGCAAAGCCACATAATATTGGATAAGGAGTTGAATGAATCGTATTAAATTATCGCACAAGTAGGTCCATGTAAGATTTTACATAACTTAGACTCTCGTTGGTAAAAATTAATAAAACTTGGTGGCTAAGTAAGAGTTTTATTTCAAGCACCAGTATAAAAAAACGGTAATCTAAACTACACCTGCTTTAACTATTTGGCTATAAACTAATGAGATTAACAACAATTCGATACATCAAGATTGTTGCAGCATCAATAATAGACAAGCTTTCCAAGAAATATCTAAAAATGATTAAAAGATAGAGCAAAAGGATTCAAACACCTGTAATCAATATAGGAATTAGTGGATTAACGTTTTACCCGTGTAACTGCAATGAATCACCGAGTAGTGTATGCTGCTGTAACGATAACAACGTCAACTTTGGCAAAATGATCTGCTTCGATTCTGTGCAAAACCGTCTTTGGTGGAATAAAGAAATCTTTATCTACATACGGCTATGCAAATATGGGTAAATAAATGGAAGCGTTGCAGATATCAAGCAACAATCTCAATAAAATTATAACATAATGACCATCATTGATATAATCGATAATAATAGTAAGAGTGAAATCTTCACTTGTCACGTATGATTTTCAACCGATAATGCATGCCAAATACTTAACAGCTCTAAAATGAAAAGCTTATTTTTTAAAAATATTAGATTTAGTTTTTTTTTTATTTATTTATAACGGGTATGCATTTCTCATGGCTGATATTGTACAATACTATGACGTTGTCGATATCGATCGATCTATTGGAATGGTACGTCGTGAGTGTTTTTGCGGGGGCTTATATGCAAAAGAGATCTACTCAGTTCAAGTTCAACCCGGAGTATTTTATACCACGTTCCATCATTCTCAGCACACTGTTAGTTGTCGTTGGTCTTCGGTATTCATGTTTTTTTTTTTCTTCGTTATTATCGTATTTTTTTTCTTTGATGCGATAAGCCTTTGATACGTCCTCGTTGAATTCTGGTGAGATTATGTGGATTGTGTACCTTAAATTTGTGTTTCGGATAAACTGCAGATTCGGCAGTAGCAGCTTAGTCCGCTCAAAAACGTTGCTACTTACAAAGTGAGCATATAGTCATGTTTTAAGCGGAAACGAATAAAAAAAAAAATGGCCATATTTTTTTTATCACGTGCCACAGATTCCTTTTTTGTTGACCTGAGCCACTATTATGTCACCAGCTGGGCTTGTTTGTTATATATTGTGGGTCTTTTGTGTGGTCATTTCTGAAACACACCTATTCAAAATTGGTGTGTACAGGCAGAGTAAATGGCCGTTGTTGTCGTCATTTGATAAGAAATTTTTCCAGAGGCTAATAAAACACAAGGGTGGTGAAATGCGTGTCTGCGTTTGGGAGATGTTGCAAGTACGAAACTCATCGTCGAGTATAGTTTCGAAGTTAGCCATTACTGTAACGGTGACCTGACAACCTTCGTTTAGATGCCATCCGGTAAGCTGATCCGTGTGTCTATGACTCCATCAGTCTGATGAGTTGTCCCTTGTGAAGTCACGCTACCAGCGATGACCTTCTCTCGGCACATTCTTCGATGTTGATTCCGGTGTGCTACTACTCGAACTAGACTTGCTTGAACCAGGACCCGACGGTGGTTGGGTCGGAAGAGCTAGCCCTATTGAAAGAAAGCACGGAAAAATGACCCGTTCACTAGCGTCAATATTGTTTTCTGGAGCAGCCCGATTTCCAAAGGATTTGGCTTAAAACAATATTTTTTATTTGATCATAATAGCTATACAACATGTGCCCGATTACTCGGTAACTAAACTTAAAGTCGGCTACTTCTAAATAGCGAGATTTTAATTTTTGTATCTTAGAAATTAATTAGCATTTTCTACAGAAACAGTAGCGACGAAACCTGCACAAAATGTAGAACATACAAACATGCATTGAATACCCCCTCCTCCCAGCAAGAGATAATACCATCTCGGATTGCTATACGTTTGTGGACGATAACATAAAATATAGACCGTCGAAATTGGCACTGAATGTCAGGCAGACAGGAACACCCACAAAAACGTATAGAAGATGCTAGAGAAGCAGTGAGCAAACTTAGAAAAAAAATGGAAGATGTAAATACTTCTTACTTGGTGGCAAAAAAATTTTCTTATCTCATTACACTCCTAATAAAAATAACTGCTTCGAGTATCCGGTACATCCCTAGATCTTTGTTTGTAGAAAAAGACCAATCGCGTCATAACCCGAAAAGACGAAGAAGTAACAAAAAAATCAGTAAAGTCAGAATAGCTCACGTAACTAAGGGAAAACTAAAATGAAAATATGCACATAACTTTAATGCACATAATAAATAAATTTAAGTAACTAAATTACTTATTATAGTACACATACTTACTAGATGGCCGTTCGGACTTATGCTCCCATTCCGGCGGAAAGGGAATGGCGCGGTTCTGGAAATCAATCAGAGTATTATATTTTTTTTTATTCAACCAATATTCTATTGTAACCAGTGTTGAATTGTTAAGCTATATTGACAGTACTTGAATGCAAACACCTCCCTCATTTAAATTGGCTTTTCTACGCACAGATTTATCTTTGTCATTATGCATATAGGCAATTGTTAGCTCATTAAATAATGAACTTCGTATATTTAAGATTACGGATATTGTCTCCGCGAGAGTTTTTTCATGTTTTTGGAGATACGTGTACTTTCTACACGAAGTATTACTAGGCATATGATCCAATTTATCTTTTTTTTTATATGCCGTTATCGGTCTCAATTTTTTCCTAAAGCTAGATTTTCTAAAGCATTTCTAGCACAATAGGTTTGCTAATACCTATTTTGATAAATCCAGTTTTTCCATTTGGCAGTGTCAGCAAAATAGTTAAACTACTATAAAAAGCCAAAGCTTATCTTGCTATTATGACTAGATGCCGAAAAGTATTTTTTACCACCTTCAGGGATCATTGCTGAAGCCAGTAAACCTGCCTTGGACCTGTTGAGACAGTCTGAGTTTAATAAATTTTGCGGCATTTCGTTTCAAATATAAGCTGAAACTACGGCAAATTAGTCATATTCATATCGAGCGATCTGTACCAAAACGGAAAGATTCGGAAGAACTTAACTGTTAACGGAACTGTTAAAGATGAATTTTACACTACTTAAACTAGTGAGTAAGGTTCATCTATTATAGGTTAGAAGCTTTTGAAGTGAGCCTTAATTCTAACTCATTGATAGCAGTGACAAATTACGCGAAAATTTCTGATATACGTATATAGATCAGGCCACACATATCAAGAGTTTAAGCTTCTGGTCTATTTTGGTCCATTTGCCTGCTCATTGAATCAAATATTAATATTTGTATAAAATGAATAATAATTTGTAAATTAGTACTTGCCAAGCGCATAATAATAATTGGTCCTATAATAACATATAATGTGGGTTAGTTTATGACTTCGGTGTCATGCGTACTTGATTTTACTCACCTCTTGTATAGTTACATAAAGCTACATCGTAACCGTATTCCATTATACTTTCAGCTTTCCGACATGACATTTTCACAAGCAAATTCCCTTTACTTCCGAACCACCAGTTTCAGTCTTGTAATTTTATTACTTAGTACGTTAGTTTTTGTATGCTATAGCTATCAGAAATTTTATTTACCCTTGTCCCGCTGTCGCTTTCTGACGTATTCTTCATTTCTGCAACCACCACAAATACTGCACTAATTAGAAGACGATATCAACAGTCCATAGTACACTTAGTGGAAAAACTTGAGCAAATCTTTGTTCTTCAAAAATCCACTACAACTATTATTGCTACTGTAACAATAAGTCAATATGTTGGAACGCATTCACGAAAAACAAATCCACTTCAATTTACTCGTGTCCGGTGGTATAGATGCGTGAAAGCGGTCGATGCATGTGCGCTTATACAGATATATAATTTACTATAAAGCTCGCGAAATTGGCCAGTGGCTACTTTCACTTAGAGTTTGTTACCAGCGATCAACTGAACGGCAATTCTATCGGTCTCTGACTGCCGACTATTGACCGACAATGTCACTCGATTAGTAAAAGCTCTCGACTTAATTTTTGTTTCTCGCCCTCTCAGAACGAGCCTTGCTGTTCGCCGGATTAGTTTACCTCCTCCGTCACCAAAGTGTAGAATGTTTGTGATACCCTCCAATGAGTGCTTTATCGATGCCACGCTCGAAGACCCGTCGTTTACGATTTGTATGGCCTGTAATGAGCGCCATGCATAACAGCTAGGGCCCGCGGAGCAAACCAAGCCGGCGGCGTGTTGGGTCTGCCAGGCCGCAAAAGTCGCCGCTGCCGCTACGAGCTCGAATCACTATTGTGACAACTGGTCGGTCCGCTGGCCTACGCGTGTATTGGTCACTGTCGATTGGCACCACTCTGCAACTGCATTGCAATTGTGCAGTCACTGATGTGGTTGATAGCGATGGCGCTACTGAATCAGAAGCGTTTATCGTCTACAGGCGAGGACTGTAGTTGCTAGTAACCGTCGCGTTTAGTGATGTATAACAAAGATTATGATCATGTGGCGACGGCAAAGAAGACGACGTCGCCTGTCGACATCAACACCGTTGCCGTTAGTCGTCATAACGATTGTGTTAGCGACCTAGTTGACATTACCACAACCCATGAAGTACACGACAAATCCTGATGGTAGTGATCCTTGCGGCTCCTACCGCTTTTACGAGCACCGGCCATCCGATGGTGTGGTATAGATCTTACTCTTTCACTGTTGGATAAATCCAAGTAGGGCACGAAAGCACGAGAAAAATTTCATTTTAACGAGCAAGTCCAGACATGAGTTGCCATTGGTCTATTTTATGCTACTCGGTGAATAATCCGTTGCTTACTGTAGTAGAAAAGCAGTTAATTAATGGCTAATGGTACAGAATATCAGATTTTTTAACCTATCATAGCAAGTGGGGGTAATGACCGAGGGAATAACTGATCCAATGAGCGTTCAGCAATACGAATTTTCAGCCTGTTAGGATCGGCAGTCAAAATAAAAGGAGCATTCTGGTGAGGGTCCATAAAATACACCCAGTTCCTAAGGATATAGTACGCATAAAGAAGTCAACAGCCAACTGAATATAACCGTCTAAGTCAAATATCAACCAAAGCAATTGCTTGTGGAGATGGTTCGGTTAAGCAGCGATGAAGACTACGACGATAACAAAAAATCTGATAAATTTAAAACACTTTAAACAATACTGATCATGTCTACAGACTTCGCGTCAACGGCCTCTCCTTTTTCCAACGCTCACTCTAGTCTACATGCACAAACAAAGCCGCCCCGTTTGGTCAACGAGCATGAATTTTTCGTTACCCATCCTCACCCAAGAATCATGCCTATCGAACTCAACAATATATGATAAAAGTTGATATGTGTATCAGCCTTTGTTTAGATTAATATTTGTAAACTTACTAACGATTACTAGAGCTACAGATTCCACACGATAATGACCAATGCAGTACTGTCGCTAGAAACTTAAGAGACCCGAATTCTTGCTCTTCTTTTTTCTGTTTGTTAGTAAGTTCCAGCTTCTAGTACGGAAAATAGGATCGATCTATGTATTACAATCTAAACGGTGGTAAATCAAAAATTTCAACGCAGACTGGGTAGACGAATGACTAATCTTCGATTATAAAAACAAAGTATTCTTGCTGTGCGAGGCGATAAAACATATAGGGTTAGGGCATATATACACAGGATATTACGACAAATGAGTGTTACATTTGGGATGGCCGACGGTTGAACCAGTGTTGCAAGCTATGACAAAGCCTCAGATGACCACAGTGTGTTTTTTATTGCTGCCACTGTTGTCGTTGGTACAGATGCCATTATTGTAATGGTCACATTTTGCAAGTTATTATTGTTTCTGTCAACCTCGAATCGTTTAAGGCTGAGATCATACACCACCAAGCTGAGGTAAAGAGGCTTTAATAGGAAGAGTGTACTTTTGATAATGAGCGTGTACCGCATTGGCATGATATCCACTCGATAGAAGCGTATTATTATGTATAACAGACTGGGTTGAACACCTCTTCAAGTGCCAGGTTTCTCATTGACCGTAATTTCCGATCTTAGACGTCGTAGTCAAACACGCAGTGGGAGGCTCAATGTCATGTAATGCTAAAATAATTCTACCTTTCTAGGAAAATATGTCTATAAAAGTCAAACACGTCAAATACCGGTGTGCACAAAACATGCGCCAATTTTGACAAATCTAATAGGACCTCAATTGCACTCCAAAAATGGTTTACTGGGATAAATGCTTTTTTTTTTCTCATCGTAAGTTGTGACCAGTTCCTCTGCAGGTTTCTTTCAAACGAAGGAGTGTGTCAACCTATTACCACGGTTTGTCACCTTGTATAATCGGTACGATGAAACATCACAGAGGGTAAAAAATTAGACGGTCCTATGCTTTCACTTACTATGATGCCGAGCACTCTAATACATTGCCGAGAGGTGGCGTCAAACTGTTATCGAAACACTGGCTTCTTAGTATTTAAGCGTACACAGTTTCCCAATGTTAGTGTATCAGTTTCCCATCAATTAGTGTATATTGTTTTGCCCAGAATGATCTCGATAAACACTAATTAGGTAAAACCTTTTGACCTTGAAGGTTACCTTTTGACCGTCAGACCAGTGATCGAAGCTGTCTTCAGCGCAACGTCTCCGCCGACAAAGCCACCGCTTATTCGACGGAATCACTTTACTGAAGCTTGTGTTCACGCACACAACAACAGCTCTTTCCACCGCGATGCCCACACTGGAAGAACAGAGGGAACCAGCAAGCAGCGAGTAAGCCGCGAAACGATCCTAGGAGAGACTGCCTTGTTGTTCTTGGAAGCAGGAGCCAGTGATTCCTCGTATAGTCGCATCTAGCGGCGTTTCTACTTGCCCAAGTCCATTGGCTTATGGACATGCAGGAGAGTGAACATCTCGATCACAGAGATAACCGAGGAGTTGATGATGAAGAAAGGATTGCCTAAAGAAGAAGAAGAGGAAAGGGTTGACTAGCTTTATCCATTGGTGCTGCGGAAGGTGGAACTGATACGAGTAGTAGAAATTTTCTTTGATTAAATTTCCCCATTTTCCAACTATCAGTTGAGTTGAAATCAGCTGCAGAGTGTTGCTGAAATAACTTCAGGATATGATAAACACAGAATGAAAAATCACCAACGATACTAACACAAATAACATAATCTCTTGCTGTCTCCGATAGCACTTATGAAAAGTTAAATCAAGTAAGTATGGATATGATAATTATGCTATTGCTCAATTGTGAGAAGGAGTCCCCTATATTTTGTCTACTGGACTACGATCCAAAGGTGAAGGAGGTAATTTAAATTCTGGAAATGAATAGAATCTAACGTGTTGGGCGACGTGAATTTTTGGCACATTGTTATGCTATAGTGTACACAGAAAGTTAGAAAACTACATAATCGTATGGGGTTAGAAAAAGTCAAAGAAACCGGCGTAGTTGCACCATTCAAAGTCTTTGTAAGACCATCTTCGTTCTTTCTTCACACCTGTCCGTGAAATTACACAATCCAATGAAGTGCTTTGCTTCTCATTCAACCTTATTATTTATTACCCTTTTCCCCCCCCCCCACTCTTTCTCTCTCAACGGAGAGTTGCACAACTTTTCCATAATAACTCATCATAAATTGTCATCTATGTCTTGCGAAATATCTTGAGCTCAGAAAAATGAACCGTTTACCTCCAATGGGTTTTAAATTAGTTCTTGAGACAATCAAGTTAAAAATCTTACAAATGCCAGAAAGAAATTATCTGACGACTTCTCCGGCAGTTTAGCGGATTACAAAATAATGTGGTTCCCGGTTCTAGGGTCAGTACTTCGTGCTAACTTAGCCTAGCACCCTTGAATGAAATACTTTTTTGACATAAAATATGATCACTGCCACGATCCTCTTATTTTAAAAGAAGGTTTTTTGCTGCATGATGAGCGGCTGCTTATAGTCTAACCAGTGTTTTCCCGATTTCTATACACATCTTATTAGGCCCGTTACCTCTCAAATACTTAATTTCAAACAGCTACCACTGGACACCTAAAGTGATACGTTTGCTCCCAAATTACTACTCATTGACGATGGATGACAGCATATTTTTATAGATACACATGAACAGTTCGTTGTGATCTGTCATGTTCCAACTGGTAGAGGTTTCAAGCAGCTTCCACTGTAAAATGACGGGAAAATCATTCGGAGACATTGCGAATTTGAAAATCAAATCATTACAGCAGTGAGGTTTTTTACTTCTTTTTAAGCCTGTTGAAAAATAAGCAGTACGAGCTTAGTGCAAGGCTTCTAAGGGAAACTTCCTTTGGGCAAAAAGTATTGCAAAGGCGTTACGTTATATAATGTGATTTATCTGCGGACAACTTTCGATTCCGGATAAAAAAACAAATTGAAGCAATAACTGAATATGAATATTAATTCTTACGCAAAACCGCAGTGTAACATATGGTCGGTCTACTGTAAAACAACGTTTTGCATGAACAGATTTCGTTAATTTCCTTTTACATTGTTAAATGTAGCCACGAGGCGACTATCCATCGAGAATATGGACTTTTTACGTTTCCTGACTACTAAGACCATTAACAACATCAGTATTTTCACCTAACTCTAAGTTACCAGTTGGCAGACTCAAAACAATAAATCTCAATGTTTTTGCATAAAAAAGAACGTGAAAATGACAAAGCTATCACTCACACGTTTCGTACATCTTTGCTTGTATAACAGAATACAGGATATGTATTCTAGATAATCTGCTATAAAATACGTTCTCCACGATAATTCACGGAGAATTTAATGTTCGACATCTCTCTTTCGACAAAAGTAAGAAATCGATCTATTATTTTGTATGGACAAGATCCTAATGTGATATGCTAACAATTGTGGGAAATCCGTCGATCCTAGCGTATTATATACAACGCGCTAACTCGGGTGGCAAGTTAGCTGTGATAAATTCTGTCTTTGCTTTTGGTCGATTGTGTTGGAACTTATTTGAGTAAACTGCATGCTATTACGTAGATATTAAAGAAAGATTGCAACGTTCGTCATCAACTAATGATAACAGCCGCACGGGAGATCCATATGCTGAGTTACAGCGTACTTTGATAAGGACAGGATATATTTTTGTGTCATCCGAACTTAGAACTTAACAGACAGAGAGAATATAAAAATGCATACTTGCCTAACCTTGTTTTTGCAAACAATATGTACATAGTTATTTAAATGTGATATCGTGCACCTGCTTGAATTGCGTTTGGATAGCTTTTATTAAGAGTAAAAGGCATCTACAAATAATAAATTATCCCTTTCTGTACGTGGACTCAAAATGTCGCGACTTCAAGTTAGGTAATATTAACTACGTGTTGGTCAATATGCTTGCAGTGTCAACTTGCCAAAAAGGACAGCATGCATATACTAAACAATTCGTTTCGAATATTTAGACCAAAACCTCAACCGGCAAAAATAATGCCATTTATAATTATTCGATCTTGGAATCCACTAAAGGTTTTTCAATATTTTGATATGTGTTGACTACCTCCATATCTGGTAGTTAGATATTTTAGGTACCATATTTAATAACGAACCTTAATGCTGTGAGGCTGTGCTTTTCACAATGAAGTTAGACCAATATTTAAATTGGTTTCCACCACGTTACGACAAATTCACTAGAAATTTACTTAAGTATAAAATAGCTGACCTATTCTTTAAATTAGGAGTAAACCAGTTCAATAGTTTTTGATTGTTCTCATCTGAATTTTGGGTTTTTCGTAGATGCGTTAATAAACGTTCATATAATGCGCGGCAAACGCACACACCGCCCGGTAACTTCAAACAAAAACTGTAATTACAAACATATAATAGTCGGTCACTGGCCGATCTCGTGTAATTGTAACTATATATAAAAAAAAAAAACAAATTTGCCATTAACTGAAAAAGCTAAAAAGCTAAAATATATCGCAAGTTCAAGCAACAAAATATTATATAATTTGTGGCTATATATAAAAGAAATATAAAAGAAAGTAGCGCGCTAGAGCTACATAAGTATCTTACCTATATCAATACAAATTTTGTTTATTAGTTTTTGTCTGATACTTTTGCTGAGCATTACTTCGGACAACTGGCCTCTTTCAGTATGAAACAAAGCTTGTTTATAGCCAATTTATTGCCTAACCTATCTCAGCCCTCAAGTAGTCCTTTGTCTTTGGGTTTAGCGGGAAAACATGTTATCACTGCACCATCTTGGAGCATATAGAGCTCCTAATGAAATACCTAGAGAAGGGCATGACCTATCTATGGAACGTCCGTACGGCTTATTTGACGAACGGCTATCAACCTTTAGACATCTGGGGTCAATGCTTGTCTCAGTCAAAATATCTATTATTCTCTATAGTAGATATCTGACACCAAATGTTGATCTTTCTCACAGAGCTCTTGTACAAGGCCTGAGATAATGATACACTCCATCTGGGTAGATCCAAAAAAAGTTGGGCTAGCGAAAACAGGGAGCTTCTGACAGAAAAAAACGTAAGACTCGTGGAGAGCAGGATGGCCAGATTTACAGAAGTGGTCGGTGCTGGTAGGCCAAGCTGGTTGAGGACCATTTCTCGCTAATATGTTAGCGCATGCGACTTCCTCCTACCAGCCTGCCGTACTAATTAGTGAAGATTCGGGCTAGTACAAATAAACTACATGGTTTTAACTTAAAAAAAAAGACCGTATTTGTTATCGGATTTGTACATCTTTAAACTAAAATGTATAAGACGCAATATGGAACGCGCACATACGAAGAGAGTCGCAAGCGTTCTTTCTGGTACTGGAAAGAAACTTCAGCGGTTGCAGTCATTCACATGATTAATGTAGAATACCTTATATAGCTTACGTGTCTTACATAGTTTGGTTAAATGTTCGTACACCGATGTACATGTATTAGCCAGCAGTCAGTACTGTAAATGCAATCGTACATAAGAGTATTGTTATTAAAAAAGAACTTACATTTTTTCTGATTGAAGATGCATTGTCGTGCCACTTCTCTGTTCAGCTCAACGAATACAGAATGTCTGGGTAACGTAACATAATGACAAATCCTCTAAAATAGCGAATTCCGATTTGCTAAGTCTTTAATCACCTTTTTTTTTAAGATGTAAGAAAGGTAAATGAATGTTAGTTTTTCTATGTTATAACGTATTAACCTTTATTTAGCAGTCTTTTCCTTTTTTATGCAGTAAGGATCTCGTACTACAATCAGCCATTAAACATAGATTTTCAATGGCTCTTAATTATAGTTTCAAAGCAGAAAATATTCTATCGATGTTTTCTTAAATTTGGCTCTAAATAAAATAACAGAAAAAGAGCAAGAACTAACAAAGTGTTTTTTTTTGCTTCATGCTACCGGCTTCTTGACTAAGTCGTACAAACATCACCGCAGCGGCTAGACGCGAAACTACCTGATAGTTGTCAAGTTCGTGTGACCACTCAACACTTCCCCATTTAGATGCCTGAAAATTCGTCTCCAGTCGGGATAGATCAACGGCTTCCTGTATCGTTAGCCTACGATCTAGTACAGCTTGTGTCAAGATCAGCGATTTCAGACATTCGACCCCGTATTGTATACCAAACAGGGCTGTACGACAGTTCGAATATATGACTTTGTACACGGTTAACAAAGTCGTAGGATCGATTTCTGGAGATATAACATTATACGAGGATTTTAGTGTGACCTCGTGTTTATCACAAAACCACTGAATAATGGGATCCCATTTGGAGCACTGTAACTCGTAAAATTCCGGCTGTTCTTCTTTCGGCACTCGAAATAAAAGAGAGTCATTTTCCAGAAATTCTAGTATCGCTTCACAGAGTTGCTCAGCTGTTCTGCTATGTGGGTTATCCTGGGCTGTATTACATAATGCTGTCAGATGCATAGCGTGACGATCTATAACGTCCTTCTGTATTAACCATTCGGTGGCTATGGCAGTTGCTAGCGCTTCGTTGGGAACAAGCAATGGTTGACCCGCTGGTGTTTTTAGTTTTCGTTTGTCTAAATTCACCTCCCAACCGTTAGCACTTTGTACAACTGAAACGTTCTTGTAAAATCGTTTTGGTTTAGTCAGAGTAGACAAACAGCATACACTAGTTGATAACGAATTTTTTCCGAGGATGAACTGGTTTCTAACAACAACAGGTGCAGTCGGAACTCTTTGTATAATGTGGCTTATTACGCGCTGCATCTTTGCAGTCTAGCGTAAAATGGACTGTTTTCTCGTTAGTCTATTGGCGAGCGAAGAAACGGTTTCGTCGGGAAAAAGCGGGAAATCGAACAGTTCGTTCGTGCAATGGGGGCGGCCATCTTGCACGTATGCTAGCATGCCGGGACTATTTGAAATCCTAAGGTTTACGACGAAATCAAGATTAATTTCCCATTTGGTTTTGGAAACTGAAATGGTATGACATTTATGAGAGCGAGTACATATTCTTTTTATTTGACAGCAGGGTACTTTCAGTAAACTTGTCATACCTCGTGTCTGGAGTTTTGAATACATGATGCCTTTCTCATTGTCGTCGTTGTCGTCGTCCCCCGCGCCCGAAAGTCCCTTATTAGCCTCCTAACACCTTAAAACAATATTAAAATGAACAAAAGTAACGAAAGGTATATGGGTATCCCCGAAACCCAAGCCAGTGCAAAATGTAAGGCTGGTTCAAGTGAGCAATAAGTTTCTATTCATCTTTATTATTTCTGCCTTACGCCCATATTTTACTCTAACTGGTTATCATTAGGCGTATTCATAGAATGCGTTGAAAAACGGAAGTAAAATAAAGGGGAAATCTAAAGTGCAAGAACATTTTGAGCGTTTCCTTTATCTAATACAGCGCTGTTGGCAAGTGTTGGTTCTAACCGCAGTACTTTGCTTATTTCAGATCGCATAGATATTACAAGCAATGCGTTTACGTCCTATTGATGTTTGCTGAAAACCGCGATGCAAATTGGGTGTCACCTCCGTAACGCTAAAAGCATTATGGAAAGTTATCAGAAACACAAACCGGCGTCAGAAAATAAAATGAAAAGGCAAAAAGCGAACCCCAGAGAGGAATGACAGTACCGCCCCTTTTGTGCTGGGGGAGGTAGCATGTTTTCAGATATTTTTTTGGGATGTAGTTTTCGTTTATGGATATTCGTCCTTTTCCAGCTAACTATTACATGTTAATCTTCAATGACGAGGAATAATGCGAAAAAAGCTGACACGAAGATCGTTCTTCTGTAGTAGTTTGTTAATCGCTAAGTTTTCGTGTTGCTGTGTAAATGCTGAACAAAACTTAAGCCAGTATATTAATTGCTATTCGTTTTGTCGAAATTTTATCAAACATATTTTGTCGAAAATTATTATCTGTTAGGTTCAATAATGAATCGATATCCCAGATCAGCCTTTAAAAGCTAATGAAGTGCACCTCGGATTATTTGGGTGAACGTATTTTAATTCTATAAAATGGTACTTAGAATATTGTGTTAATTTTTTTTGTCTGGGAAAATTTGTGGGACGTAATGTAAGCGAAATTCCCTCAATGGCTCAAGCAAAATGGCTCACAATAATACACAGATAGTTGACCTGCGATCAACTAGTGAGTAGTGAGTTGTCTAAATGTTTACTTACCAATATGTGCTAGAATAGTAATTCTGTTAATTAGAACTTTCTTTAAGTAGGTAGAAGGCGTAAGTATCTATCAACATGGGTTCTATTTTATCGTGTGTTGCAAAAGCCTATCCACAGACAGATTGGTTAATGCATATCCCCTTCCATAACCCCAGTCTCAAAACTCAAAAAAGCTATATATACATATGTGTATATGTAAATTTAGCAGAGGTGCCGCACTGCTTATGCGACAAGAGACCAAATAATTAACAGTTCTAAAAATGGTGAACCGCTGAAACGAGAAGCTATACAGGATAAACTATTACTACGGAGAGCGACGAACTATTCTGTTAGGCCAATAAAGTACGCTGGGAGTTTAGTTGAGCATGGTGGACGCCGCACCGTGACTATATCCTCAGTAAATTTTTGCAAAAGGGGCAATCGTTCCGATGTTATTGATACGGTTATTCTTTTGTACTGGACTCACATAAGGTCTCATTATGTATCTGCTCGTTTGACTCCTCTACGCTGCTTATTTAGGCTCTTGTGTACAGTTATTTAAAGTTGTCGTACGCCTGTCTTCTCATTCATGTACATGCAAAGTGAAAATAATTGAAGAAACAACTTTCGACCCTTAATAAAAGTGAAACGTTTGATATTTTCCGTTTCAAAGCAGATGTCAATAATACGCTGTAATTACGCTTTGAGTATCTTTCTGGTCCAGCTTTATTCTCACACTTACTATGTCTAAAACCTACTATACATAGAGCTGAATCAATCGATTCGATACCCCCTTGTAGTTAGCAAACTCTGCTTAAACATTCTACACATTTTAATGTACTACGAGACGCAATTGAGTACATTACAGACGTTACCCAGAAATACCATTACGTAAAATCCAGTTTGGATGGCTTAACTGTAGTTGTTTCTTGGAGATCGCTAAACTATCTGAGCCATCGTAGGATCGGCGTCTGCAGATTAATGCATTCTGCTACCAAATCACCGATTCCTTAGACCTCAGCTACCGGGGAATACGTGAAAAGAGTTTGCTCGTCAGCTAGTTTATAAACGATAAAATATCCTCATGCGATATTCCTTTAGTTAGTAATTCCTTTAGATATTTAGTTTCAATATCATGACGACTCAACTGTTTCTTGATATATTTTATTTGTTTTTAATTTTTTTTTTGGTTTTATATTATTTATTGTATTATTTAGATAGCCATGACAGGATGTGTGTATTTGAAGAAACCAGTTTCCTACCTTAGGTCTGGTACGCTGACCTAGTACCAATAACCCATGGTATGTAAGTGGAAAATAATTCATATCACATATAGCAACAATGAAGTGATAAAATGAAACGGCCTGACAGACCATTCTTGGGTCATTGTGTTTTACTGAATAACATCACTATATAGGCCCCGTGCTCATCCATTATGAAGTATGAAGTGAAATTCTGCCTGCGGTGCCTGTATTTATTTAAGCTGCTATGAAATGATCGCCTTCGCTTATTATTGCTTTTCTTTTCTATATATAACATAACATAGTATAATAATAAAGGCTTTCAGTGTACCAATAGTTAGACAGTTTTTTTGGCGAAACCAGTTTCCGTCTCGAATCCGGTGTTACGTAGACGTATTCGCATATTGAGCTCGGAAGCTGCGGACGCAAGTTGTCTTTTTAATAGCCTAACTAGCATGTATATGGACGTATTTGTTCGAAATGTATGAGTCATGATGACTTACTACAGTCTGATCTTTGAGCAGTATCAAGCATCAGCGCGTGTGAACGATGATATAACGATTCGTCATCATCAAGTAATTGACTTAATCGTAGATTGAGGTTTTCTCATATATCGCTTACGCTCTATGTTCACTAAAGTCAGCTACGTGGTCAAAGGGTTAATGCACGAACACGCTTAATTAACTAATCCGTGACCACTGAACCTTTGCATTCGATTCTGGCCCTTTTACCACTAAATCCTAGTAAGTTTTGCTTTGAGAATGAATACTAGCCGACAGTTTTATGCGAAATAGATCTATACAAACAGATAGTTTCTGTATGCTGTTATTCGCTTCGTTATTTGTTTGCCTTTTTCCTCCATCTCTGTCATCTCAATTCTGAATATTGATTTTCATAATTGCCTCGCCTACCCGCCCCTGTTACGTTCTACTTTCTATAGGAAAACTGTCCGATACTCTGAACTGACAGAAAATCCGTGTATGGCACAAGCCAGACATTACTACCACATTAGTTCCGACAATAGCCAATATCGTCATAGCCATCATCGTTGTTGCTCGTCGTGATCGTCATCAACAACTGCGTTCTAGTCGTCATCCAAAACAGCGGCAAAGCCGCCAGCGACGCGAACCTGCGTCAGCGATGCCCGACCAATATTGTGGAGCTAACAAGATTTACTTCGCGCAGGCCTTCCCGTGTTGGAGCTAATAGTTTGACACTCAGAAGCAAGAATATCAGTGCGCACAGCGCGGCGTGAAACACCCTCTGAACTGAGCAATTTTTGCCACCGCCTATATACTACACATAAAGAACATTCGCTTGTAGAGAAATTTTGTCATTGTCTGTGTGCATGTATATGTGTCTGCAGGTCTGCATGCAAAAATTGAGAAAGTAGCCAAAGATCGCCATTCGTGGAAGTCAACGATTACCATCACTGGTGCTGCTATGTGGCTTCTCAACGCTACCACTTCAATGTGCAAGGTCGTTGGATTGACTAGCTATAGTATGCACTCGTATTGTAATCGCGGTCGTTCTATTCTATATGTTAATGTAAACAGCAGCAGCGGCACCACTAGCAGATTCAAGAGCACCATCTGGTGCTCAGTGAACTGAGGGGCATTATTGTAACGTGCTGTAAATAACGGGTCTTCATTGGGCATCATAGGTGAATGAGTGCTTAGCGAGCGGGCTGTGGTGATAATGGCGTAAGGGCGTCTGCACTTTCGACGTCTTGTTTCGCGCGTAGTCGCTGGCACCATCAACACCATTGCTGACTGTTTACTGCATTCAGTGATGGTATGTCTTGACAGACATCCGGCATGCGGTGCCGCTGTGCTGCGCTACTGGCCCGTATCTGACCACACTGATCCGACAGTGGAAAGAGCAAGAAAAGCGACGAACAGCTTGTGAACCAAGCAGAACCGTTGTTTGGTGTGTGTATAACTAATATGTGCCAACTTTGAGGGCGCCGGATCTTGGCAGGGTTCCAGTACCAGCAGTACCCATACCTATTAGACAAACCCCGCAACTGCTGGCCGTTACGTGAGCTGCTGATCTATTGTTACGAAGGGTGTTTCTGCCTCTGCTGCTTTAACGTGAACATCTGACGTTTTGGTATCGGTGGGTGCCGTTAATACAACTATTGCTATCGGCCCTTAGTGGCTGGCATTGTTGCCGCTCACTGAAAAAAAAACCGGTAAACAAGGAAAAACCATCGCGCCATATTGATATTCATTCGAAGCAGCGAATCAGCGCAAGCGCTACTGCGAGTCACGACACCATGAGTATAGGGATAGGGGATCACTTCTGCAACTGGCGACAAAATTAGATCATGACTAATTGTGTTAGTAGTTGAAATATGTTAACCGTGTGTCTAAGCCTTGCCAAGCAGTGTTTTCTCTAAATAGGAGTCAAATGGAATAATACTTTTTGTCTTTATGTGTGGGTATGTGTGTACTATTTTATCCCACTGTTTAGGTTTGTACTTGTTTTCGGTAAAAATCGTCCGTAGTCATTGCCATATACACATGCCTAATCGGTTGTAATAGTAAACTATAGCAACGGCAATAGCTAAACGATAATAACGCGTGTCGATTTGATGAAAAGAAATTCTATTCTTAGATAGAGCATGTATACTGAAGATTACCATTTCTTTGTTGCGCAGGGTATTAACGTGCATTGTGAAGTCCAATGACTTACTGGAAGAGTTCTATCTACTTTTTTCTAGACCTTGTGTACTCATATAAAATATACACACGTATCTTAACCTCTATCACTATATACATACATATATATGTATGTTCTTATTTTTCTAGTATTCTAGTCTGGGTAGTAGTTTGATCTGGTCTGGGTTTACCCAAGCCTTCTACCAGTCCTTGACCAGTTCTCTTATTTCTGCGTTTGTGGTGAAGAAGATTCGCTTTATAGCACTTCTGTTACTATTCTTCTATTGATAGAAATCGTCGTGCGTTTGCCGCGATCGATGGAGTGTTAGAGTTGCATAGCAGATCTGTTTTCTGTCGGAGCCCAGTTAATGGCGCTTTTGCTATGACCGTTGTCGTTTTTATACCTTTTACTTCACTTGATTCGCTTGTTTTTTACCACAAGTGCACGTCCTCATGGACCACTTGACTAAGACTATTCCCTCACCGTTCGCTTTTCGCCGACTTGCAACGCGCTCTCTGTTTTAAGGCAGAGGCGGCGTTCACGGCCGCTCGACCAGCGTAAGCATCGCAGTTGTTTCTCCCAAGTAGCAGCAACAGGCTGTAACGTTTGTACGGTCATATACGGTAAACGTCCTTAGTTACTGTTCTCTGTTAATGTTTAGGGCAACGTCAAGATTGTAACAGCTTTAGTCAGCAGGTGTTTCTGTTGGAGTCACCAACGGAACGGCGCTAGTGCGCTGTTTTTGTTGTAAGGCATCGTTATCTTTCTGTTCTTTAGGCCTACATCTGTAGCGACATCATGAAATCTCGGGGAATTGCCGGTCTAGGTAAGTTGAAGACTGACTATTATAGATAATACTTTGTTTTTTGCAGTCGACGACTACGAAATTGTTATCAAAAATATATTTTCTTTGCGTTTACATATTTATGTGACTAAAAACTGGTGGCTATTCAATAAGAGGCAAACGTTTCACAGCATAAAGAATAGGTATAAAGATGCTCAAAAAATAAAGCGACAGTTAGGCACAAACAGGTGAGTTGTTTACAATATGATATCATTGATCCAACATGGAAATAGTTTATATGATGAAGACACCACAATAATCAGTCTCCCGATTGGTGTTAATATAATAGATCTAGGTACAACATGTCTGTAGCTTTGCATTATTCCAGACGTACAACAGGTCGTGATCTGTAGTAGGCATATTTTTCATCATAGTTGTGAATCACTTAGCATAATTTCAAAAATGATATATAGCTACCCATGGACCAACGGTTATTTTAGGAAAATATGTTATTCCGCATTGTGCGGCAGGGATAGTCCAGAACATATATCAAACAAATACTTGAAAAGCATGAAACAGAAAATACGCGAAAGTCTTTCATATACGCAAATATGTAAGTATTCGAATAAACCTATTTAGAACTGTCACCGGCGAGACTTTCAGCTTAAGAAAAAATAGGTACAGACTATTCTTGGTTCAATTCTCAGGCGTTAAACACTTGGATAACTGTCCGTTTTATCGATCGTAATTACATCATCGACATCGGCCTCTAACTGAACTAAACATGTTTGAGTACTATCGATACGCCTACACTCGGCAAGTGGAGTAGGATCTTTCCTTGAATATCTGACAACGTCGACCGTTGTCAAGTATTCTAAATATACTCGAGCTTCAAAAATGCTACAGTGACCGCTTTTTTATTCAATTATAATAACATATCTTTTTCAACTGGGTTAAATTATTTCGTGGGTTAGGTAGATAGAGAATAATTTTTAAAACGATCTTCGCCGACTGATGAATCTTGGATAAAACAAAGAGGTATAATAAATGGATATTAAAAAGACATTAATCTAGAAAAGTGTCACCAACGAAAAACAGTTCAATTAACAGGAAGATTCAAACTGAAATGGCGGGACCTATAAAAACATGTTTCATAGTAAACACGTCCGGTAGTTTCGCGACCTAAAAGGACTTTGCTGTGTTTCCATAAGACCAGGAGGCTGGGGACTAGGCCAGACAGGAAACAAAGTAACACAGTGATTTACTACAGACTCGATGTTAACTAAAACTACTTTACACAACGCTGAACAACGCAAAGCAATGTAATCGCAAGCTAACAAGTTTCCAGACATTTATCATCAATGGGGCTATTAAGTAGGTCCTAAACAACCTCTGCTATTTCTTATTTTTGCATATAAACTGGGTTCTTTTATTGACTTCCTTTCAACGGCAAAATAAATATACACATACAAAAAAAAAAATATATATATATATATATGCCTGAATAATCTGGTTTGCACTACAGTCGTGTTGCTGATAGGACCGAGCAAGTGATATTCAGGCCTCTCAACCAATCATTTTGAGATATCGCCAAGCCGTCTCATACTCTTGATCCTTTTTTCCGGTGCGACATCTATTCGTAGATTCGCCTTCACGCCCATTGCGCCTATACTCACCATAACCATATGAGCTAATGTTACTACAAAGAAACAACGTTCCAATCCGACTTGATCGGTTCTCACAATTCTACTTACATGCTTCAGGAAGTTATAATGTAAATCTGCTGTAATATAATGTTCTTTGTTTGTTACCATGTCTGCGTTAAGCAGAGCTGTTTTCCGTAAAGTTGGAAACTCGGCGTCGAAGTTCCACTGCATTCACATAGATGAAGCTTAGCGTCAGTAAGTGCTAGGTTATATCCGAGACGTTTTAGGACTAAAGTCATAAATATTTATAAAAATCATTAGTGTTCTATATTTTTTGTGTGTATCAATTGTAGCACGTGGCGCTGGGTATCGTTAAGACAAAAATATTGTAGTTGATTATCGGTTAAGGTAGCGGTAAGAAATGTACCTGCAGCCGTGATGTATTGCCTGCAACTAAAAGGTTGCCACTAGTAAATTTCTACCTGTACAGGGGGTCTGACGATTCCATGCAAAGAAAAATCATTGCGTAAGGATCAGAAATCTGTTCGCATGATATCCTATAAATTACAATGAACAAATAATATACAGAATCAATACAGAGAAGTGATAAATATATATCTATATATATATATATATATATATATCTATAGAGTAACGTAAAAGTTTCTTGGCAAAGAGAGAGAGAGTTCATTGCAGATGTGCAAATTACTGCAACAAATAGCAGATTTAACCGCCCAATTCGTTTGTAACAGATGTACTACTTTATAAGGATATTACAGGACATTCTGATATTAGTCACTAAATATTTGAACACAATTGAACTATCACAATTCTTCGCACTTAAAATATACTAACTAGATATAAAAGCCCTAGCTCCTAGCATTGACCAATGACCTGATCTTTCATAATTATCAAGCCTTTTAAAAGTCAACGATAATTTTTTTCAAAAAGCAGTGTTTTAAATCTGATCCATTTGTAGGAAACGATCTTCGTCTTTCCGCTGAGAAGATCCCCTCGGTTTATTTTTGATCGATATATATATATATATATATATGGTAAAAAACCATTTACTAAAGACAGGAAAAAAATCTGTTTATATTCAGCGTGTGACCAGATCAAAATGTAAACCACATTCTAAAATGACGTGTGTTTTTATCGTGTGTATTCCAAGAAAACAAAACACATACTTGGATTTATTTTAGCGTTCTTATTTGCTGTTTCAGGTATTAGCTGCGCGTTCTTTCTAGTTGCCTGCCTATCACTATTGGCATATCTCAAGATACCATCATTTTTACAGCTGGCAGTCTCACGGTCTGGACTGAGCCCGGGAAGTTTTGCAGCAGACCTATTTTCCGCTATTCCGTTTGATATCCGCCAGAATGTTTACATGTTCAATATCACTAATTCGGAGGACTTCTTTAATGGCGCGAAGCCGCGTTTCAAACAGCTGGGACCCTATATATTCAGGTAAAGAACATTCGATATTGATCGCCGTATTTGTGTTAGTTAGGCAAATAAATTTAATGATCCTAGCTACCTTTTCGTAAATAGTTGTTGTAGAATCCTTATTTATTAGATAATCTGGAAACACGTCCCTCTTCATAGATATAATAGCTCATGCCAGCAACTGCCTACAGATACAGTAACGTCAATTATAAGCAGTCGATAATTGTCGAAACTGTATCTCGCGCTTCGATACCGCTGTGTTAACCAAACAACTACAATGATGATATCTCACTGTTAGACATAATAGTAATACTTTAATTAGGCTTTTCTGCTAATTGGGCGTATGGATTTAGGATTGGCCTACGAAAGCAGATGACGTGGTCGGAAGGCGATTTACTTACGTTCAGAGAAAACAGGAAGTTCTGGTTTGACGCTGATCTTTCTCATGGACATCTGAACGATACCGTGTATACGGTCGATCCGATCTACGCAATGGCGCAGGAGGTATATACTTATGTCAGCTAGTCAACGTGTAGGGTACAGTTGGCTTCTTCTGTGTAGATTGCTCTGGAGCTGATTGGCCTAGAATAGAAATGAGTCAAAATCAGATATAATTCGTTCATGTTCTAGTAACAGCATGATCTAATTGTTTAACAAACTAACCTATTTTATTTGGCTATGCTAGGTAATCGATGAGCTGCCAGAATTCCTGGAACGATTGTTTCGGCCGCTGTTGAAGTCGCGGAAGGTTCTTTTCAAACACAGTGTCGACGAGCTTCTTTATAACGGGTATACATGCGACAGACGTTGTCGGCACATGAGTGTCGTTACAAATACAACTATACGTGTCTAATAGTTTCCTAACGCAAATGTAAAACAGACCGGGCATATATCTGTAATGTAGGCGCACGGGAACTAATCGAAATATCTAGATGTTCGAACTTGTATGTTAAGAATCGTTGCCACAGCCAGGATCCAATAGGATTGGATGCTCTGCATGGCACTGAACTACGAATAGGCCAGATTCGTAACGTGTAAAGCTGACAAGCCCAACTATATTTATCTAAATTAGACGTACCTGATATCAGGTCTTTACAAAAGCTAGCAATTATGATAAATTGCAGATCTCCTTTCATATGTGTAGTGTTTTATGAAATTATTATTATTATTTTACGATAGATGCAGTAACTTATTTTCATACTTCCATACAAATATTTTTGCCTGTAATATCTATTCGTCTCTTTACTCCTGTTTCTGTTCAGAAAAGTGTTTAACAGCAACAATGTAATCAGCCTTGTATAATTATACTGAACTTTGACGACTGATCCTTTTAAAGCAATTTTAATCTTATGTGTCTCTCTATACTCGACGCAGGTACAGTGATTCCCTAGCAGAGCTGGCGCATTTGATAAAGCCTAATCTTCCTGTGATCGGTGGAAAGATTGGTTACTTACGGGCGTTCAATGACACCGATGATGGCGATATTACAGTATTTGCTGGCACTAATCCCTTCACGAAAGATAAACGAAATTTAATCACCCAATGGAATCACAAGAAGTGAGTACGTTCATTATGGTAGAAAAAATCTCTTAGAGATCCTGATAGAGTAGCTATGAAAACTTGCACTGTTGCCTTAACGCAAATTAGTCGTATACTGTACTCGAGTTTAAAAAAGAAAAAAAAACGAGACGCCGAAAAAACCTTTACTTAAAAGGTTCTTTCGGCGTCCGTCCGACGTCAAACTTTAAGCGGTCTGAACTATACTTAATAGCTCAGACCGCCTGTACCGAAAACATTCACGATATGATGGCCAGTGCATACAAACATCACAGTTTTTAGATGGTGATACAATTATTGCGTTAGTGAAGGTATCTCACACTCGGTTGTTCCCTTTTTTTTTTTTTTTTTTTCTAGAACAATTCCTTATTACGGCGACGGGTGTAATGGCATCTGGGGAGCAAGTGAGTGCCCATGCGGAGTATATAATCGTTCATTGATCATGCTTCAGATAAAGGTATAAATCATAAATAGATAAATCTTACATCTTGAACAATAGTATACAATTTCGAAAAGGTAAAATAACTCTAAATCTAAGCTAAATAACAAGCTCGTCTAATGAAAGCGTATCTCCTTAGCCACACTGACTGATTCTAAACTTCTCAGCTCATATGTATTGTATAATGTTTTCATTGAACTAGATGCCGAGCTCTTCCCGTCGTTTTTGTCATCGTCACCGCCTGCGCAGATCGGCGTATTCTTGCCCCTGCTGTGCAGGCCGTGGTCCCTACACTTCAATGAAACACGACAAGAAAATGGCATTGAGCTAGCGAGATTTGCCACTGGACTGGATATATTTTCTCCAAGCAACAGTAGCCAGATTGAGCAGTGAGCTTTGACAATTCATTCACCGCCAAGATATAATTTCTAAAGAGAAAACCCTTTTCAAAGCCATCAGAATGTGAATAAACCTGTAAAGATTAAGCAACTTAGAGCATGTTTAGAAAATATCGGTTTCAAGGTATTAAGCAATCTCTCGTAAATGAAAACGAACATCGTCTAATCGGAGCTTAATAGTATAATTTACATTGGATTACTTTGTTTTGGATTTGGAACATAATATGAACGCAATTACCTGTACTGCTATTGTTGACTTTCATTTGCTATTCAGGTGCGCCCAGCCGGCAGGCTGGCCACGCGGTGTCTTCGACGTCCGGGCATGTCAGCATAGTTTCCCTGCACTGATTAGCTTACCGCATTTCTTGCATAGCGATGAGAAGATTTTAGACGCCGTGGACGGACTAACGCCGAATGTCACAGAACACGATTTTCATCTCGACATCTTTCCGGTGCATGTTTACCAAATAACCTACCAATTCAACTATATGATATATTTATGTCTATGGCACGCCTTAGGTTAGCAAGGCGTAAACCACAAACACGATACTACCAGCAGCTGGAACTTCTGGCTGAAAAAAAGCCAAAAGAAAATCACGCAATTAAATGCAATGGTATTAGGTAAAATAAAAGTGTTCGAAAGGAAATATGATTATATGTTTTTTGATATTATTATAGTTACATATTTTTTTGCCCGATGCATTATCCTGGTTTTTGCGATCCAATTTCAGTTATTGGGAATTCCCGTTCGCCCTGCAATCCGCGCCCAGATAAACGTGCGAATTTGGCGCCATCTCGACACGTCTCAATCGAATAACCCACCAATCGTTTACCCCGTCCTCTGGCAAGAAATCGTACGTTTCTTTCCATCATTAAGTACGAAGAAACGTGGGCAATAGCCAGACAGTTATGTGATTAGTAGATACAATAGAACGTATTAGATTATTTGATGCTGACATGTGGTCAGTTAGGGAAGTTCGCCCTTTCGAAGGTTCGATAGCTTCGTACAATTTCTTTTCGATGAAACATTTAATGAACCACAAACTGGGGCGACTTTGGGACCACTTTTAAGACAGCTCAGAATCATGCTTAACGAGAGGAAAATAATTTTATATTTTTTTTATATATTTACAAACAGCGTGCAAAATGTGACACATTTTTATCCATTTCAAATTTAGAAAAAGTCGTAATTATATATGCTGCGCCAGCTGCAAAATGGATCCCTCTGATAATCTGGTTTGTCTAGAATATGCAGTTTACCCATCTTTGCGTAGCCATTTGTGCAGCTGGGGTCTTAAAAAATCATCGACGCTGTACTGGCATACGCATTGGGTTTACGCTCGAATTTACTAGAAGGTGCAACAATAGTTGAATGAACGTTTTGTGTTATCTCGTATTAAAATCGAATTATTAATGACATATAGAAACAATGCTTAAGAATCTATCTTAGATCTCTTTTTGTCGATTGTAAGTTTCCCACAAGTTGAAGTGTTCCAAACGTAAATACTTGCCTGAGTCAACCGCTTTCGTGCAATTGCTGTAGCCGCATTACTATTATGCAGCTTTTATTCCTCATTTCAATCATTTTATTTCGGCCGGATAAGAGAATGCACGTTTATACACTGTTGGCAGAGAATACTTTTCAGTAGGAGACACTTCTAATTTTGTGTGGCATTTTGTGCAGCTCAAGCCGACGTCCAGTCGACATTTTCAAACTTGACGTTGTACAGAGCCTTACGGCGTCCTAAAGTTTTTAAGGGTTTAAAATTGAGAATGTTAAAGTTATCTAGATATCAGCGTATCAGCTTCGAAGCCATGCTAGTTTATAATAATAATCCAGTGAAGAATTTTGCAACCAAACGCAATATAGGTTCTCTTAAAAAAATACTGGATATAATGTGATGGATTAAAAGATAGTCTTCCAAGTTAATTATATTAATTTAAGATTTGCCCACTTCTAACATAGCTTTTCATCAACGACTGTACAGGTGCTTTCAGAGTCTGCCATCTCATACCTTTCAACAATGATTTGGTATATCATTCTACTGCCTGAGACCACTTTGCGGGTGATTTTAATGCTCCTTACGATCCTGTCCGTCTCCCTTGCTGTGAGCTACGCGTATACGTCCTTTAGTAAGGTATAAAGTGAACGTCTTTATTCAGTCTGTACCAGTTTTTCGGTTACGAATGCTTATGCTAAATACTTTTTACTAATTCGATTTTAGCATACTTAGTCAATACTTGAGAAGAACTACATAAAGCCGGAATTCAGCCAGAGGAACCATTTTAGTATACCGGAACCACTTAGCACGTTCGCACGGAAGAATATGCACACCTAATCCCACACAAATGTGTTAACTAGCGTTTCCTATGAACGACTATATCGTGTTAAATGAGCATTCACCGTGTTAAAGTATGTACAGTAGTTTCAAGTGAGACAAGGTGCCTTGTTTGCTCTTCTTTGGTTGTATTTATTCATACGATTGTAACGAAACAACAAGTCGTCCCCATTGTTTAACAGGTGTCTGACGAAGAAACAGAATCGATCCTAGCATCGGCTGAAGATAGTGCAGCTTCTTCTTAATACGCACAATAGATTCTTCGGGATCAGCGTGCAGAAGCCACTCTTGTGGCCTAAAACAGCATCTTGGAGAGTATACACAAACGAAGACGTCACTTTATCCTAAGTTAGCTGTCGACGAGTATGCCATGCCAAACGGCCGAGCTAACACCTTCAGGGATGTAACATTGAGTGAGATTATAGGTAGATTACATAGTTGCGAAGTGGTCGTCGATTTTTGAACTGTCCATAATTTGTCCGAAAAAGTGACGTAATCAGCCATTATTGAATATCATCGAACTACATCGAACACAATAATATGTTTTTCACTAAAAACCATGTAATATTTTTAAGTTATTATCTTTAAACATATCTGCTTTAAACAGTAATGACAGATGTGTCAAGCCGTTAATTACGAACTCACGGCGGGCTCACGTATGCACCTCTTAAAAAGGGCTTTTTGTTAGACGTTTTTATCGAAGAACAACCATTTGAAGTCGAGCAAAAGTTGTACAAAGTCTATTACCTATGCTTATCTAGCCCTATGGTTGATCCCAGTACAATTTAGAGTCACGGTAAATTTATCGTACTGAAAGCATTTAGTTTATAACTCTGAATTATATATATATATGCTAACGCTGCGGGTGGGGGAGGGCAGCAGCTTATGCTGTTAGGGGTACTGTGTATAGTCATTGAAGCCTTACACAGCTGGCTTGTAGTCAGCTATACCCGACACTGATACCGAGCTGAAAAACCTATGAACATTTCCCCATAACAGGGAATAATTTTTTAATGAATAACAAAAGCCTGTACGAGCATTGTATTCTAAAGCTAAGCTGTAAATAAAAATCAAATTGTGATGTTTCAGTAGCACCATATTTATTATTTTACGGTCTATGTGCATGGTCTATTAGTCTATATACATGTACAATACTTTGAGTGAAATGGACACCACGATCGAAGTAATAAAAGATGTGTTATCTTATTTTAACGCAAGTTTACAAATAAAAGCGCCTGGCGCATTTGAGGATTCGAATTCGAGTAAGACGATTAAGTGACTGACTTCCAAATCGCGATCTTTCTATTTACTCACTTTGCCGAACCTAGAAGTGACCGATACTTGAAGGAACTTAAGTCATACGCTGCGTATTTCACTCCCGGTGTTCCCCATAATAATAAGGTATAAGGATTGGTTTGACCGGAATAAGGTGGTTTATTCACTGTCTCCGTCCGACTCCACCGCGCTCCACGTACTCCTACTAGAGCTGCAGCCAGTACCCTTAGTACAAAACTGAAGACGAGGTCCGCGATGAACAAAATATTGACCACTCCAATAAGAATGGCCTCTCGAAGTACACATTTAATCGGAGAGAAATATTAAATTTTATTTAAAAAAGGAAAGTTAAATTGTAGTCCAAAATCGTTATCTAATTTTGCACAGGCCAGGACTTTGTCTTTTAAAACCATGTCTTACAAGAAAGCATTTGAAACTTTACTTGAATTATCCCTCTATGATGTTTTGAATTTTATATCCGATATCACCGCTAGGCATTACATTGAGCTTCCAGTACAAAACAAAATCTGTCTGTGCCCAGATTCGACCCTACACCATACCGTTCCCCTAATATTAGCACGCAGACACGCCACCCATTAAGCTATCACGAAGACTACATGGCCACTAGTAACCGAAGCACGTCAGTTTGTTCTATTGAAGTTGTTTTCGACAACTTGAAAACGTGCCTATGCGCAATTTTTGTCAGGAAAATATGACTTAAGGAAAAATGAGTCTAACTGCAAAGGTGAGCTTAATTAAAAATAATCCAGTAAGCCTCGAAAGCTTTTCAACGGGACGCATTGCCTGAAATGAGTAACAGCTTATCTACACTAATGAGTCGGTTACATCGAGAACGGGATAGAGAAACTATCTCCATTTTCAACCATTTGTTATTAAGATAATACCATTTAAATTTTGGTAATAATTAATCAAAGTTTCGTGGTATTACACCAAGTAAATATGATGTAATGTAATATAGCTAAAAGATTCGTAAATCAAAAGTGCGATTACTTAGAAGACATTACAGCCTTCCTTCTAAATATCACATATCTAGCATGTCTGCATTATGATCTGTCCTATAAAATAAAGCTTCTGTCGTCCGGTTATTATAAACATGCCAGCTCATTAAATGAGGCGTATGATCTTTCAATGGTTGAAAAGATAGAGAGAGTTGGCAGTGCAAACAAAATGAATAGCATATGCCCCGACCGATCTGCCCTTTGTATCACTCCGCCATTGTGTGAACCGGGGACTACATATAAAATTGCCTTTAGTAGATACGTGAAAGCTACGATATATTGATTACTAGAAAAAAAAAAAAAACAAAATAAGCAGAAATTAGGCGGTCACATTTTGAGACATGCTTTGATTACTTTAGACGTAAATAATATAGACTAGACATATAGCGAACGATGATAACAGCTGCAAGCATATAATAGGCTAACGTTTAATTCTATGTTAAAGAACATAGGTACTGTCGAATAACACAGTGCGTTTTTACTGTGCTAAGACTGTTATTTATTTTAATGTCGCAGTGTACTCGTGAGGATGCTATGGCACTTCAGAGTATCGTCTGCTACAAGCGCTAACTCTCAATAACATCCAAATAGATCTGTCTCATGTTTTGGAACAGTGCTTTTCATAAGGGAAGGATACCCAGAAAACCCAACAGAACGTTCGGATAAATCGCCCAAGCGGAGAAATGTATGCGAAGCGTAAATAAAAAGTTTTTGGGAGAAGCTTGTTGTTACGGTGCTTATTAGGCAGGATACAGAAGTTGTCAATAAGGGATCCTGATTAGTGAGACTCACCTACCCAAGATGGGCCTCGTAGCAGGGTTTCGCGCAACCGGATTTCGTCAGTTTCATCGGTTTCTCAGTTGTCTAAACAGCAGAACATTGATAGAACTATCCAAAAACAGATATGTACGAGGTAATATATATTTGTCAACTTAGCAATAGCGATTATTACATTTCTTTGTCTGACCAAGAAACTATGCGATACTCGAACACATTTTACTTTCCAAGTTATAAAAATGAATTTTAAGTTTATATTAGATTACAGTTCCGTAATAATATGAACTAGAAGTTAAATAGACACTTGTAGTGTCATTTATAAAATTGCAAGTGTAAGCTGATGCATTATATCTTTCCGTCGGCAAAACAGGGAATGACTGATTTCTAGAAATGCACAGTTGTTATAAATGTATATATTTTCTTTAAGTGTTTGAATGCTATTTGACAAAGGTGAGCGAATGAGTTTGATTAATTGAGAAGTACGCATTATATGAACTCATCTTACGAGGTGAAGCATAATTTTTGGCTTAGGTATTGCTGCCAAACTGTCCTTCTCTTTTAAATTCAAGTACACAGGAATGAATCATAATAAATGTCTGAAAAAATTATTTTCAGAACTTGATCTCCAAATAAAAAACCAGCGTCAGCAAAGTCTGGCTACACCATGTAAGTATGCTTTCAAAAATAAGCCTTGAAAATTGATATTGGATGCATTTAAAGGCTTATATGAAATATTTAAAAAATAGGTACAGAAATTTTTGCGTTATGCGAGTCGCTAAAAACCAAAGCGTTCCTCCGTGCTGCAACTGAAATAAATATAACTTAACCTTATGTTTAAAGTAGCTTGTTACAATGTAATTTTTTATTTCATGGCAGTATAGTTTAAGGCATATGCAAATTATCAATAAGATTTGTGAGTGCTCGATTAGTAAAAGAACGCTAAGCAGCAAATTTCTGAGAGTACTATATGACATTTCACGGGAAAAGACCCATCTAGGTTTAGGAAATGTTTTGTGAGAACAACTCTGAATAAATGATAAATTATTTTAGGAAATTGTGCGACTCACCAAATATTAAAACATAGGATTTTATTTTGATAATAGCGAAATAACAAGATATGAGAGATTCTTATTAGTGTAAATAAATCTAATACGTAGCACAAAATACTTTCTAGGCGTCTTTCGTTATACTTTAAAACATTGTTTAGAAGAGTTTTGGCTTTGCAGGTGTTGTATCAGCGAGATCATTTGCAGATAAAGCTGATCCTAGAGGTAAGCTAACAGTTAAACAAGTTTAAACTTTCTGTCCAATGTCCGATGTTAACGGCCTCCAAGTGGTGCCCGACCGCACATAATTTTAACGTCTGCCGAGAATGTTACTGTATTGATCTTATCTATCAGTAATCTTGCATGTTTGCTTAAAAAAAATATTCGATGCTAGCACATGTGAAACATATTCATAAATTACGGCTTATAGGGAAGAAAAATGATTTTTTCAAGACTAAGTGTCTGGCTAAACGATTTTAGTTTTCCTGATTCGAACTGGGTCATTTGTGGCATATAATTGCGTTTGGATAAAATAAACAAACTTTATTAGTTAAACAGTTTTTATAACTTGTAAGTTTGGACAGCCGATGCAACAATAATGTGATATTTTTAGGGGTATTTATACCATTTAAATAATTCTGGATCTATTCTTGCAGTTCTAACATCTTATCGTACTAGCATGCTAGAATGTCGTGATCTTTTAAAGCTTTCCCATATCGTAGACTTCTTTTGTTGCTAATGCAGTAGTCGATGCTCAATATGTCGCTAGATCAACTGTCAAATTTCTGTTGGTCTGCGGTCATTTATTTAATTCTTATTTATGTATATAGTTACGCTGAGTACAAATTGACATAGTCCATATTTTGGAACTCTTCTTTCTCAACGACCTAGCAGCTGTAGATTTTCATGAATTCAAGGAACTTTTGAGTACTCAAGATTACTTCATTGTCGACGTTCGTGAAGCCAAGGAGCTCGCTGAAGATGGCAGGCTTATTGGTAAGAGCCGCGCGTCTTTTTCCAAGTCTATTTGTCTTACTAGAAATAATGAGTTGTTGTAAAGGTATGACAGCATAGGAACTAAAAAACAATAACGGACAGAATTACAGAGGTGTCAACAATTAGCTTAACACATTTGATTTTACAGGCGCTATAAACATTCCACTAGGCCAGGTCGACACTGAATTCGCTAAATCTCCAAGGCAACTCAAATCGCAATACCATCGCCTTGCTCTAGACGAAGAAGGTCGCAATATAGTATTTTTCTGCAAAGCTGGCGTTCGTGCAGAAAAGGCATTAACTACGGCACAGAAGCACGGTTATACCAAGTACGTTATTGGCTGAAATATATGTATGGTGAATCTGCTGCGCTATGAAATATAGATTCATACTTGACTCTTATTTATGGAAAAGTTACTATTAACTAAATGTATGCCTTTCTTATTCCACCATAACTTTATAACCACTTAGTATATACAGAAGTATGTAAGAGTGCTTCAAGGAAAATATAAGAACTATCTACAGTAAATTATTTTCTCGCAACGTAACGTTATACAGGGTATATAAATTTTGGATTTTTGAACGAATAGTCGGATAATGAGGTTACAAAATTAAGCTGAAGGTTTAAAATGTCCCTAATGGTGACAGTCTCAAATTCTATCGTTGCTTCTAGAAGATAAGGGGCATAAATTGTCACGTCATTTCATTACCCATTTTATTTTCGCTTGTTAATCTCTGCAATTTTAGGGCACGATTCTATAAAGGAAGCTTCTTGGATTGGATTGAAAAAGGCGGGCAAATTATCAAAGGATAGCTTAAACATCCAGGATCCAATACGTCACTAACGCATCTTGACGATCACAGTTCTTGCTATTAAATGTATTTTAAACCTCGAGGTATACAGGTTTGCGTCACCATTGCGAACCTGGCTCTTACCTAATGGCCTTTAACTGTTGAAACGTTATCCAGAACGCTCGTCAAGTTTTTGAAAAGTTGCAAACGTTTGACAATTTGAGTTTTATGTACTTTTCGTACACCACAGGTTTACTTCTTAATCCATATTAAATATCTGCAAATGTATACTTCACAAAATGTTCACCAAATACGTAGTACTTGCAGGTTTTTTTATAATTAAATCAGCACCATAGGATTTTTCAGCAGGGCAACGTTTCGCAGGACAGAATTAAAAAAGAATTGAACAGAAAAAGCTTCTTTTACTTCGACTTTAAAAAAATGTAATTTCGTTGATGAGTACATCCATTGCAAAGTTTATAGAAGTTTCGTTCCGTTCGCTTTAAATATTAATACGCAACCTATCATTGAGAGCGGCATTGAATAAAGAATAAACGTTCTTTCCAGATAATCCCGGCATACTCTTTTATTAAAAAATATTATATACAGATTTGTGCAGACAGAGCGTCAAAATTTTATACTAATATAATAATTCACTGAATTGTAATTTATGAAATGGTTCTAGTTCACCATTGTTTCTTAGTTCACTAGCTATAACGAAGAACTTGTTATATCCAATTATAACATATTCATATCGGTTTCCTTCTTTCCACTAGACACAGCCTAAATTATATATATGTACATTATAAAATAGTATAATGTTAGAAACAATGAATATAAATATAGTTCAGGGAGGATGAAAAAGTTCTCATCGATAAACATGATTTATTGTTGATAGAAAATTCAATAATACATATACATATATGTAAAGAGCTTTAAGTACACTAACATTGAGTTCAACGAAGAGGGTTCTTACTACTTACGTAGACTTGAGCCGTTCATATAAGTATCAGTTCTTAAAAAGATCAATGCAACCGAACGCAGTTCTTGTCTTGCACGAAACACAGACAAAAAAGTAAGTATTTTAATTTAGTTTTTCTATTCAAGATTTATAAATACTTAATATACCATTAAGGTGTCGTATTCAATCTATGACATACGATATTTATTTAGATACGACATCTTAGATCAAATAAAGAAGCATATTTTTATAATGTTAGGAGCAAAAATATTTAACAGTTGACCAAAACGATATGTGACTTGTAAACGTCTTCTTGCCTCTTTTAGTCATTTTTGTTTCATTCGTGTATCTTGTAGCTAGATAAATGTATTATATATGAAACCACTTGCTAAAGTGTGCAAAGTTTGCTTATCTATTTTGTGAGTCTCTTAGTTATTTTTTTTTACAGTCTGGTTGAACCTACGTTTTGCCTTATTTTTTTGGAAATCCTTGTCGCCCTTCAGAATTTCTAGCTCATATCGACATAGGCTGTGATTGCATGAACTTTGTTAAGTTCATGCAATCACAGCCTATGTCAGAATTCTATGACACGCTTGCGCTCGGACGAATCATGTTACTTAAATATGACCATGCTGACAAAACGTTACTTGATCTACGTAGCTTTAAATTATTGGCCTTTTTCTTCGACAACCCGTATTTTATTCTAGATTACAAAAAACAAGATTTCGTTTTTTCGCTTATTTTTAGCGAATAAACATTATCGTTACTTGGGTTTCCCGGGCAATCGTTCAGAGTTCCTCTCCTTTAAAAGAGCAGACGATAAAAAATGTACAATCTGTTTATATTGACTTATTGTCACAATTGTTTTGAAGTAAGCTCACTTCTCCTTCCAATGTACACACGGCGGCAGCAGCAGCAACAGCAGCAGCATCAGCAGCAGGTGCTCTTATAGTGTTCGATTCTTTTTCACGTGCAAGCTGACCACTGATAGTTGAGTTCACAAGGCGCGCGTCGATGTACTGTTAGAGGCGGTCTGAAAGCGCATTATTATAACTACAAAACTGAGTGTTGTTTATGGGGCGTTAGGTGCTACACAGAAAATCTGCTTTACTAAAGTGAAAAAGCTATGGCCGGCACAAGCGTGAACTCCGCTTCACACGTTTCTGTAAACCTGCCGCGAAGACCGCCTCGACATAGTAGAAATCAGACCCCAAGGAGACAGCACTATACTCGGTTAATATCAGTACTCAAATTCATCAGTTAGTGGAGCTACCCTCGGGAGTGATTCTAGCTATGTTATTTTATGGTAGTAACAATGATTAGCGTACAATGGCCGATAATAGATTTACGGCCTACGTAATGCTGATTAAATTTATCTTCGAAAGTGTTAAGTGTGTAGCTTCATATTGCCTTCTTTATGGGCCAGTTAATAAAGGCGAAATTGGCACAAAGAGTTCACACGCGGAATAGATTTTTTTCGACCAAAAACATATATCGTTTGCTTTCGCGCAGCTGAAATCCACGTGACTCGCTATATATCAACTTCATAGATACTTTTTTCACTGAACGTTATTTCGGTTTTATATAACGCTAATTACATAGACATAACTTGTCGAAAAACACTAATAGAATGACCAATAGGGCAGTTTTGGAACTCCTTAGGTGAAAAAACATCAAATGTCTGCTTTGTTTATTACCATGAAGAACCATCTATTTCAAAATATTTACATCTTTATTTCAGAGGCGGAACTATGGCTTGAAACACTGATTATTGCAAGTTAAATAACTGACATGTTGACATATCTCCTGCCCGCGCAAAATTTTAGCTTTCATTTTTGTCAATATAATATAGTAGACAATCGCAATTTCTGTTCGATCAAACTATGCATAATGTGCAACTACAATACCGTCACTCTTTAGGTCCATTTCATCATACGAGTTCGTTAAATGTACGCCATTTTATAACATTTTATAGATAATAAATTTTCGGATGCAAGCATCCTATTTCCAAGTAACTGTTATCACTTTGTCTTGCAGAGGTGTGCCACCTTTCAGTGGAGACAACGGCCGCTCACGGTTATCTCGATCATTGCCTCGAGCCTCGTGGGGAGATGGAGCTACTCCATATGAAACTAATGAACCACCGCCATTCCACGCAGAAAACTCACGCACATACAGCAACCATCGTAGTAATAATAATAGTCATCAGCAGTACCATAACGGCAATGGGTGAATAAGCAAATTTTAATAATTACAGCCTTCATAGATTTACGCAACTTATAGCCAGCTTAATAGGTTCATACAGCTTGTATTGCATTTATAAGTTTATATTTTTACAGGTTTTGAAGCCCTGCTTATTGTTAAATCACAGACAGGATGAGTCACTTCTTTAAGTTTGATTTGACCAGAATATCTGTTTTCCTTTAGGAGACAACCTTCAACTCGTGTATGGTGGGCCCCGTTTTCGAGCCTGGATCATGCTCCGCCTTCACTCTTGCCGCGAGAGTGTACTACCTGCAAAGTGACTCCTTCGACTGTGTGGGGCATGGTGGAACATTTTTGTCAAATTGAACACTGCGAAAATGTGTTAGCGCACCGACAAGCCGAGCTTGAAAGACACGGGCGTGGAGGACCGGTATGTAGCCATTACATTTATCTCATACTTAAAAGAGACCGTATAGACACTTCGTTTAGTGAGCTGTTATTAAGGAAAGCGAAATCATAGTAGAAAAAACTTAATTCGGGTGTATTAGTACTGCTCTCAAAGTATGCTTCTGCAGGTACTTGCTTAGAATGGCCGAAACAACCCTTTATGCTTCACTGTGGCTGTGCGCTCAGAGAACGAAGCAAAACGCTAGCTTAGTTTGAATATTTACCGTGGCCCAAAAATGAATGGTTAAAAATTCATCACCCTAACACTTTTAGTTTATGTTAACCCATTGCTGTTGTACCTACTATAGCTTTGAGTTATACAATTTGAAAATGTTATTGCAGCTGGTTATGACGTGTCTAAGGAGAATATAAAAATGTTTTTAGGTAATCTAATTCGGAATTTATTGTGAGTTTTTATTTTGAGATATACATTTCTTTTTCATTCGAAAATTTTAGCGACGCAGGAGACGAAGGCATGGATTGGCATCCGCTAAACCCATTTCGAGCAAAGTAATTATTTGGCTGTGAACCCTCTTAATTTTTCTATATCACCTTTAGAAGTACCTGCTATATAGGACCAATTCCACAGGAAATAACCGCGTTACCTCTTCACCGTAGCTCCGTTGCAGAGAATAGAATCTGATTTTTGTTTGCTTACTTTGTGTGCGTTTCAGCGGTTAATGTGCGAGCTTTGTCGCGTGTCGTTACCTAACATACAGACCACTTGGCATCATTTTGCTGGAAGCAAACATCGTAATAATCTTCAGTCCATAAAACTAGATCTTCGTAACTCAGGCTGTACAGACGTTCCTAACGATAGTGCATCAGATAATAGGTAAGAATATATAAGACTGCATAGAATGGCTTTGACGTGACGCACCAGCATGTCACTTCTTACTTAGAATCATGGAGCTACTGGGACATACCATCATAAGACCATTTCTGCATAAGAACACAATTTGTCGCAAAGTAGATTATCAAACCCTTGTAACGCAAAATAAAGCATCGAGAGAAAAAAATAAAGTCGCTATTTGGCAGACACAAAGAGCTAAGGTTCGTTCTTTGTGGAAGTAATAGCTCTCCCATTACGGTGTAATTTGAATGATTTGGATTTTAATTGAGTGGATAATAAAACAAGGTTTACTTAACATTCCAAATTAACGTAGATTCATCGCATTAGGAACTATTTACTTGTACATACCATCTTTAGGAATCGGCGAAACCAAACAAAAACGTTTGTTAGCCCGATATACCTTAGGCGCTTACGAAGTCGCTCACTCGTTTCAGTATACAACGGGTCAGTTGAAGGGTGTTCCCAAATTCTGCCTAGCCTAAAGAGGCTGAGCAATAAGATATATATCCGCATACATCTAAATATCGATACGTATTGGTATTTCAACTCGTATTATGCTATCGCAGATCTGACGGAGTTTCAGGGCGCTCTTCTAGTCGAGGAGATTCAATCGAAGAGAATACCCAAGATGACGAGGATCAAAATCGGTCTCCAAAACCTGAAGCTACGGATGAAGGTGACCGGAAACGGCGGGAATCCAAAACTTCGAACGAGCTTATGTCAACCAAGTTACTGCAGCAGCCACCGCAATCGACATGCACAAACAGTGACACTAACAATAAGGGTAAGCTGTTTTACAAGGAAATGTTCTATTGAAAATACTTAATTGTCTTCATTGCTGTTCACATTCCATGAAGACGTATACGATTCGTAAAATTCTTTGAATTTGTGGATTTGTTAATAGCATTAACGACCTTTTAATATTCTTGGAAGAAAGTTAAAATATATCTATATTAAATTGTGTAATTAGATTAGGTCTATGCTTTAGTTTTTAGTATAGCATAGTAATATTTAAAACAAGTTACGCGCTCATTTTGACACCTGAGGTGACATATACGGCGTACTGTTCCCGATATAAAGTCGTGCCACTTCGTAGCTTGGCATCTGCTTCTTAGCACAGTTCAGTATCACTGGTTCAGCTTGTATTTACCGTTGGTCAATTAATATTTTTATTAACGCTCACCTGTTTTCAGATCGATGGAAGCAACCGGCCTTGATGTCGATCCGAAGTCCAAATTCTTTAAAAGATGAACTGGATGTGCTGCTAAAGGAAACAGATGACGAGGGGCGAAAATGCGCTGAGAGCGGTAGTGGGAAGGATTTTCGAAAACATCAGTACTTCCTTAGTTCAGAAGAAGGTGAAACACTGTCGACTTTGTATAAAACCATTCAATTATTTTGACTACTTCAAAGAAGAATACACAAGTATAGCTAACTGATGACCACTAGATTTCGAAAGCAACAAAATGTTTCACAGATTTTGTTTTATAGGTTCCCTTGCTTGTGTTTTTTTGTCATCTAATGCTGGTTATAATATCTGTGGCGAAGCTCTTATCTTAGTTACTTTAATCTTATTGAGATATTTTACCAACAGTGTCAAATGATGACGATTTTTTCATTTAAGCAGTATGACGTTAGCTTCATAAGAGCCCTTTTTTCTTGTTGGTAGTTACTGAAAAATAAGAAATTTAAGAGTTTTATTATTCGGGTAAAGATCGCATAAATTTAAGGGGTACCGCATGTTCATCACTTCTTTGTTTATGTATTCACGGTGCTTTAGAGCGCTCTGATGACGAATCCGCGTTTCGCAATACCAATCAAGAGAACGGTCAAAGAATCGCAACGTCACTCGCAGAAGACCCGCGAACTCCAGAAGCTAGACCTAAAGTTCCTCGACCTTTGGTCGGCTCCACTGGGAAGAGTTTAGTTGACAAACGGAAAGACATTTTGTCTAAACTCAGTAACTGTACTGATGTGTAAGTAGGATCTCCAAAGTGCAGATTAAAATTAGCATAGTTCAGCATAGTAGATCTTTACAAAGGGGCATTCCTACAACTTTATTTTTTTTAACGTATACGCTTTGCATGCTTTTGTGAGAAGTATTATCGTTGTTTCAATACAAAAGTAAAGCCTAGCACACAGGCGTGAACGGATAAGACCATAAATTACTGATTAATCCATAAAGTTATGAATTTTAGCCCTAGATACTTCTATAACGCTACAATTTCTATCTCTGCGCAGGCGAGACTTAGCCAAACAACTACGGCAAATTGGTCGCGGTGCCGATGAAAAGCAAAAAACAGCCCGAAAAAGGTTGCCTGGTGTAGCTTATACAAATCGAGACATTGAAAAGCAGGAAACGTTTGGTGAAGCTCGCGCAAAACAGGTTTGCGACTACACATCGTTCATTTCGGTAGGATGGATTGTTAATGGACTAAGAGGGCTCATCAACAAAGACTATCTTGCAATACAAGACAACGTATCTTATCCAAAGTCAGTTTGTTGTCAAAACAATATCGACAGCAAGTGCTGTTTAGAATAGCTTAAAGCTTGTGGAATCAGTTACAGATTACTTGGATTTTATTGTCAATTGCTATAATCTAAGTAAAAGTAAAGATTCCAGTATAGAGAAACAATTGACAATGCGAAAACTGCGAACTAATAATCGAACTTTAACCTATACAACAAGATGATTTCCCGATTCGCTGATGATATTTAAGTTCGTTTTATTCTTACAAGTTTCTTACAAGTGAGCAAGGAAATTGTTTAGCTAAAGTATCTTCATGTGGTTTCGGTCAGTTCAAGCCCTGAACGCATGAATAATTTTCATCTCATCAACGTAAGACTGCTTAAAATAGGTCCCAATTAAGTGATAGTATAATACAACTACTTTCTTTAGGTAATTCCAGAAACGGCTATTACGATAGAGGAACCAGAATCCGTTTGTTTGAAACGTGAGTCTCCTAAGGATATATCCGGTGTTTTTGGGACTGGTACTCAAGCAAGCTCCCCGACGAAGTTACGTGTGAAGAACGAAAACAACGAAGACTGTGCAATCGTTGCTGCTCCGCCAGCACCGTAAGTACTTCCCAGTGTTGTTTACAAATTCGAAACTAATAGCGGAACTAACTGGAAATATTTATTCAAAATTAAGCATGACTACTGACTTATGTGCTGGTCTTAAAAACAGAAAATTATTGGTAAAAAAAACGAATTTTCTCTAAAGGTCTAGTCGACAAATCATTGTAAGGAATAATCTATAAAATTATTATTGGGCATATATGGTGCTATATCGCTTGTGCGTTGAATAGCAAATCTATCGGAATAGTAACTATCCATCTATCGCATTGCCTATATACACATTCACCATTACGAGCTTTTTTATTTGGAAAATTACTCGCACTACAATGTGAAAACATTTTAACAATCCTAGATTATTGATGTTGCATTGAGTTTTGTAGGCCCCCTCAGATGATCTCGGATTCGGAGGAAGGCGAGCAGGAACAGCCTCCGCAAGACATGTCACCTCGGTTAGCGTCGTCAACGTCACAATACAGCCACGTTCAGCCTCCCGCCGGGCCTCAAGTACTACCGAATGACGACATCGTGCGGTTAGCCGCATTGACATCGGAGGAAACAGCGGGCCAGGAGCGCCTGCGTTATCTTTCACATACGTTGCCGCGTGTCGAGGCATTACTTGGTTTCCTAAGACAAGAAGAGCAAGCAACAATAGCCCAGCTCGAGCTGATTCGTGCAGCAAAGAATCGAATAGCGACAGCAGTGGGTCAAGGTAACTTGTTGGTATTTCAGAATTTCACAGGAGCATTTGATGAGTTAATAAATTTTGGTAGTTTCCGCATTCGTAAGCAAGGACACTGTACATTATCAACTGCTAAATAATACAGTTTTGTTGCTAAATTATGTTACTTTACATACTTGTAGGTCCGCAGCCTCCACAGGGTGCTGAAATTTTTGGTCCAAGTCAAATTCTCAACGCTATACTTCATCCTGCACCGCGTAATCCTGATAACCTAGCGTGGTTGTTTAACAATACGAGACCACAAAGGACATCAATAAACTATAACCTTCAGAATGTTCTAGGAAGTCTAGGGGCTGCTTCAAGTCCAGTTACATCTTTAGCGCCAGCTCCGTTGTTTAACGGCGTTATAAATGATTCTATCAACGGCTCTTTCGATCATACAACGCCGCAATCTGCAACCTCGTTAGATACTCGCAAGCGTTCCAATGTATCACCCGGCGTCTGGGCAAAACGCTCAAAGAGTGCGGAAGTGCAACTGGATGAACAACTTCACAGTGAACAAGTGCTCGCAGTGAAGCTCAGCGGAGATTTCGTGTATTCAAGCAGCCGCGACGGAGTAGTCAAGCGAACACCTCTCAGTGATGGTGGAGGGTCTGTTGTCATTTACAGACACTGGTAAGCATTGTGTGTTTTATACTTAAAATCGGTCTTTGCCGAAGAATTATGCGCTGTTGTTTGGTTTAGGTTTTTGCTAAATTAAATGTGCTGCCTAAACGTCGAGACGCCCTTTTTACAGTATAAATTCGATTACAACGGACAAAGTATTATGTAAGTAGACTCTATTTAACTATTATTAATGGTGACCTTTAACAGAGCGATGTCCTGATTATACGCTTTAAATTAAAGAGTTTGTTTAGCGATGCTGACGATGGCAAGTCTAAATCTAGTAGTTACTTTTTATGTTTTATCTATTTAATTCAGCGGCCAGGATTCGAATTCCAACTTGAAGAGGGTTTGCGCCTATATGCTAGAAATATCTGTCCACAAGAAGATGCAAATTGTAAAGCTTCTAACTGGTTCGGATGACTGTGCACTGCGAGTCTTTGACGGTGACTCGGGTCATCTGATGAAAGTGATTCCTGTTCAGGCTCGGGTGCTCTGTGGATTTATAGCCTGGCAAAAAATCTATATCGGACTCAAAAGTGGTACGTTTCGACATAAAGTGGATTTACACAAAACAAAAAGAAAAGTCAAAAAGATATGTAGCATTTGTTTCTTCTTCGTTTTATTAGAATAGGCTTCAGTTTTTAGTTAGTGACATGACAGAGAATTGTTAATGTTCGATCTTTTTGTATACTGGTAAATTATACTCAAAATTGACCTTTGAGTTATGTGCAGTTCCGTAAAGCTCGATTAGTGCAGGTGACGACTTAATTTAAAGGTTCAGCACTTTAATTGGGAACGACAATTAGACCCCTGCAGCACACTTCAGACATGAGTTTGCTTTTCGACAGCAGCGTCGAGGAAAACCGTGTCAGCCATGATTTGGTACCATTAATTAAGTATATATGTTAGTATTGAACGTTGTTGCATTTTCACTGTCGCTGTGTTGTTATGCGAGATTTTGAAATTTTTTGAAACTTTGACATTCATTATGGCTTTTTTTGTAGAGTAAGGCAATAAGAGGGAAGAAAAGGTGATATTCGGTCAATATATTCTGCTAAATTATATGGTTTCGTTTATTTATTTCAGGATATATTCAAGTATATAATCTTTTAGATCAACGATTTATAGTTGAGTCAGAGGTGCGACAGGTACCAAAGTTCGTAGCCGCTACTCAAGTTACGAGTTCGAAGCACATTGTTGTAGTAACCCAAGATAACGCAATGATGTTACGTGACGCGGGAACGTTATTTTTGCTGTATGCTGTTGATAAGCGTGATCAGAAAATTACCGGCCTCATTGTCAGGGATGAAAATATACTTTTGGCAGGGGAGAGTAAAGTCTACGTTTTCGATAAGGTAGATATACAAGTAGATCAATACTATAATTTGAGTGCTAAATATTATCATACATTTGTAGCCATCACCTACGTATATATATATATCTGATCAGGACGGCAGACTAATACATAAACCGTATATGTTTTGTTATAGCAAACATTGAAAAGACGCGTGTGTTCAATTGTTAGGGGCCTTGTCCTAAATCTTCGCTTTCCATCATCAGACTAATGAAGCAGTATTTAGTTCTCTTACGGTGGATCAATTATACAATTACCATTATTTGCGTTTGGTTCATTTCAATCCTTTACATTTAGGGCGGGCGGTTGTGTCGTGAAGTCGAACTGGATGAGGAGATTTTCGGGGCTGTTATGTTTGAGTCGTGTTTGTTTGTTGCGTCTGTGGCTGGGTCCTTAAATGGCCTTAAGTGGAAGGAACTGATAGGTGGACAGGTTCAACGTAAATCTCAATTATCCTGGACAGCAGCTTTTGCAACAGTCGCCGCCAGTAAGCCGTCAACGTCAGCAGCGAGTGCTGACTCCAATGCGGCAGAGGTTCTAGTGGCACTTCATTGCGATGAAGGTTCGAAGAGGTTGGCGATAGCAACTGAGTCCGGCCGTGTAGCTGTTTTCGATGCCGGGTTAGCGTCGACCTCAGATACTGATAACGACGAAAATCCTAACAGCTAATAGGGCTTAATCTTCAGAGCAGAGAAACTGGAGGCTTATCAATCGTTGATGTCAATACGCTCAGTGGGAGTAAGTTTATTTATTAAGAGAAAATGATATGAAACTTTGTAATCTAATCTCCGATGTAATGATTCGTTGACGTATAAATGAGAGATTACTTAGTATTCGTGACCTCTGAATGCAAAGGTTACCAGCTCGTCAAATCCATTACTCTAGACTTGCTCTAGACCAACTTGCTCAGATTAGTATAGAAATAAAGAATTACTTTGGCTGTAGATTTTGGAGGGTTACGGTAGTCAAGCGATCGTTACATATATATGGATGTCCTGCTAAAGTCACCCAACGCCAGGGCTAACCTCTTAGGCATGATTTATTTTTTACGCGTAGGTATACAGTTCCAAAATTTATTAGTAAATCCGTACGAAGCAGGTTGCCTCTAATGGACTGTTACATATCGACGCTTTTGACTTCTTTTCAGACAGCCACATAAGGTAAAGTTTACTATAAGCGAAATATACTTTACACCTGGGCCTAATTGTCGATCGCAATGCCTTAGTTTTTCGTTTCTTCGTCTTATCTCGTTGCTTAATCTGCCTTTTCACGGAAATGTGATGCCATGTCCGAAAATGGAGTTTAGCTTGGGGGGTTTGCTTCTTGTGTATTATTTATGGGACACGTGCGTGTTTGTGGTCAAACGTATTTATACCATAATTGTCAACAGCTTACGACTCTAATAGCCAACTGCTGCAGTGAATAGGGTGCCCTTCGGGCCAGGAATTCTCCTATTAAATGTTTTAGTTCGTGGTAAAAAAAAAAATCTAAAAATGGCTCCGTTCATCTGCCGTTACTCTACCAATGTTAAGCGCGAATGCTGACACAAAAGATTACAATGTGGGACGTTGTCACCAGTGGCTACAACAGTAGAACTGTCAAAGTGATATAGTTGATTTTTTACGTTGTTAATGATTGTATTTTTTGCACGAGAGATGCATTTTCACGAAACGTTATAGACAATTATAACAACATAACAGTCTTATAAACGCTAAAAGTTAAGTGTTTTTAATATTTAGTGCGATGTAAGTGAATATCTGACAGTCATTCGTGTATATAACGCATTCAAAGAAATGGATTGCTAGTTAACCATTGTACAGTTTTGTTCATTTCAACTTTTTCAACTTACAGATCAATTAAGAGATAAACGAAAATTATTTACTAAAAATTGAGTGTTTTATTAGAGAGAGGATTATTAGATTTAGGTGCGAAAAATCCTGTTTTCTATTTATATTACAACAATAATGGAATGCATAAGATACATACATTAGCTGCATTTTTATTATTCATTTGAAAATGCGTTAAGTTATTAGAGTATTAAAAGGTCATTCCAGAGAGTTTTTAGTATCTTACAACAGGGTAATAAACTTAGATTCTAGCTAAATATATTCTTAATATCTGCTAACTTAGCAATAATGTTATTTTTTCAAAATTAAACTATAGTTCTTTGTCAGAATTTTATAATTCCCGATACAATAAAGCATAAACTAAAAGAGCTTATTTTTCTCCAAGCATTTAATCTATGATTTGCTATATAAAACCATGCGTCAACATGCAACGTAACATATATGATAGATTCGACATACTCTACTACTGTCAACTAAAGAGAGGCTATCGTCTGCTGAAAATAATACGATACTAAAAATGCCTATGCAACTCTTTCAATTATCAATTAATCATAGCCGACCATTTACACATAAAAATCAATTACTGTTCATGTTGCAACTTTCACTGGCAAACGGACGTAGGTTAAATTAATTTTATTAGTATTTTTTGCTTATTGAAGTCTCATGGCTCCTGGACAACTTAGCAAGAAAGTATTAAGATAGAAAAGAACGCTAAAATGGCACGAAAATTTAACTCGTTTGGCCTTGTGATCCTCTGAGAAGTTTGTGCCCTTTTACCTTGGGAGCTTATTCTAGATATATGATCCGGGTTTAACGGTCTTCGCGCACCAGGAAGCCAAATCTTCTCATTTGCACAAGCTTTTCGTATGTAAAAGACTGCTTTGTTTGGTGTCCGCTCTCTAACCCTGTAACAACATTTAAAATAAACATTATTCAATACTTTAACTTTGCACCTAATCATAACATTTAAGAAAATCTAACCATAGCATTTAATAACAGAATCTGTGATTCTGAGGCCTGCCCAACTACTTCCAACCTTTTTTCTCTATTTTTCAGAAGAAACTGCATTGCGCTTCTATCCGGCACATTCAACATATCCACTAGATAGATATGATAAATAGTAATCAGTATGGCAATATCGAATCGCAAGACACATACCTTAAGTCTTCTTCGAACTACGTTAAAGCTACAGTACCTTGTTATTAGTAATTAGCGTTTTCTGAGACCACCAATAGCTAAGTCGAAATGTTCCGCAAATAGCTAAGACGGTAACCAGGCTGCTACCACAAGGCGATTTTATAAGCCACGTGTTCGAATCTAGGCTCGGCTCAAAGCATTTTAACGAAGATATTTCTCTCAAGTAAGGAACCGCTAGGTTCGTGTGTAAATCACAAATCTGTTGACATGCGGTCCTACTTAACAGAAGAGCGAAAAACGCGAAAATGAGAAACCTCTTTGACCCCCAGTATATATACAGATTTAAATAACTCTTAATAATAATAATAACTCTAAAATGGACTTAGTTATGAAAAATGATGACCGCGATTTGAGATATCAAGTCGATAGAGGCCTAGCGAAAAAGGTCGAAGTACCACCTAACAAAAGAAAAAAATGCTACCCAAGCCTATGGAGCGAATGCGTATCTACAAAGTTAGGTGCGCGCACCTTTGCTTACGCAGCAGAGTCCTAAAAGGAATTCCTGGTCTAATGTCAACCAAAGGCCCACTCAGACCGAAATACTCATTTTTATCCTTTTGTTTTGAGGCACATTGGTTCTTAACTGAAGATTAAGTGCTTTTTCTCGTCATTTACGATTGTGAGTCAGTTGAGACACGTTTTAGAAAAAAGTTTCCCTAGGAAAATCGGTTTAAAACAAATTAGCATAAGGCAATTAGTTTTCCTATTTTGTCGCTTTAGACAAGAACACGTCTTTAACGAGCTCAACAACTATAATTCCTATAGTGTATACAACTATAATAGTCTTAAGTATAATACAATACCACGAACATAATGCGATCTACTAATACCCATTCATCCAATTAAGTCATTTTTTTCATTGAAATTATATAATTTCAATGAAAAAATGACTTAATTAGGTCTTAAATAGCCGTGAAAGTTGTCAAATTAATTCTATTATGTGGATTAACAGCGCGAGATTTCTTTTCAGAAAATGCTATGCAAAAACCGCTCACTATCAGTCATCGCTTCCTATCTAACCTTCTAGAGCCTCTTATATCTCACGCATGTACATATTTCTTTGCGTAACTTACGGCCCATGTTGCGAACCCCATACAATGTGGCTTGTATGTCAGCCATCTATATACCAGTATATGCCGTACGCCTTTGACGTTTCGCTAATTCGAAAAGCACCAAGAATATAAGTACGGGTGAACTAGTCAACAAGGCAGAGTTACCGGCAGAATGGCCAGCCATTCTTTGACGCTCATTGTGGTGACAATATTGCCATGATGACTAACCTTGTGCTCACCCCGTCTTTTACCGTACACTCGACATCAGCGGCAATATTGATTAGCTTCCTTTTTCCTAACGAAAGACAGTTCACAGCTCTTTCCATAGATCTTCTACCGCTTCCGAGTATAGAGCCATGGAGAAGCTCGTTGAGTTCGTTGGTTCTGTCAGCAACTTGCTGACACCATTCTGCATTAAACTCCCTTTTATAGATGGTTACAATAAGTAACCCGAAGCATAGGATGATCTAACATGTGTATCCCAGTTTGCCATGGTATTTCAACGAACTTTCTTGGTTGTTAAATCGCAGCACAATTTGTAGACATTGGCAAACAAGGTTGAGTTGCTCGAGTTTACTACAGAAAATCTACGTCATTCATATATCGCATCTCCGTCCGAAAGTCGATTATCAAGTCCACCGAACACTACCATCATAATCAACAACGTATTTTCCAATATTTTACTTGTCGATGTCGGCTTACATTAGACAAATCTGACAGTGGATACGGACAAGCTTAAAAAACTGGTAAGAGGAATGAGCAATGAGCAACAATGATTCTCATCCCAACTCTGACCGCATTCGCAAAAAAAAAGGTACGAGTCTTTGATGATGGATACCAAGATTATGTTTGTGAGTGTGAGTCCATATTTATCGTTGCATATATTTAGCATTATCGACTGCTGATGGTACCTCGGTGTTGCGTCTAAAATAGTTTCAGTGTCCCTCAAGGAACGTTTAATAAGTAAGAGTTTGAATTACTGCTGTATATACAAAACAAGGTAGTGCTATGCTAATAAACATACAGGTAGTTCGCAGATCAATTTGCGAATGTTGCGCGATTCACACAAGAGCTACCTTTCATTGACGTAATTTGTTCAGGTATCACTCGACCTAATGAAGGGTATCAGATTTGTATAAGTTTAAAAACATTTTTTGATGAGGATGTACGTACACATTTAATCAAACTCTGAAAGCCTCATGATAATGTTCTATGTACAATTCTTCCATACCTATATGTTTCGAATTTCACGTTCGTTAGGCATAGTTCCAGGCAGAAATTCTTTACCCGACAACTTATTTAAGGAAATGGATGACAGTGATATATACAGAGCGTTCCCGGATTTGGATGCTTGATTTGTATTTGTTGCGATGTGGATAAATCGAACAAAGACCTAATATCTGGATTTTTCCTATGGCAAACCTATACACATGACAATTTCAAACTTCAAACAACTTAGTTTTTTAAAAACGAAAAATGTTTGTTCAATTAGCACGAAGTCAAAACCTTTTCGCGATTAAGCTATTGATTGCCCGTTTAACTTATCTATCATTTGTAGATTTCTTACAATAATAATAGTCGTAAAGCTTTCAAACTAGCTCGTCTTAAAAAACACACAACACACAACCTGAACCTGGTTTTCACAACCTGAACTTTGTGCAGCGACATTAAGAGCACTATTGACTAGTAATATGAGTACAAGTCTCGGCTCAAAATTTCTATTTGCAATAGCGTGATTCAAAATGTATGTATGGATCTTACTTAAAAATGTGGGTATTAGTTGTTTAGCTAAAATAATGTATCCAAACAACGAAATTTATTATGTCTGCATCATTATTCGACTCCCTGAATTAACCACTAATTCATGCTGTTCATGGCCAAATCGGGCTTTCTTAAGGGGTTACTCATGATTACCCTTCTAATTCAAATATGTGTGTCAGATGATCTCGGAGTGTGGCAGTCTTATTATTAATATTATTATTACGAATACTATAAACGTGACATGATTCAAGGATTATTATGCTGTATAAACATTATAATGTGAATGACAAAAGTGAAAATATTTTGCCTTAATGATAGCCACTATCTGAACAATTAACAAATATTACCACGGAACGGCCATACGGCTAAGAAGCCACGATTCATAGATTGGTTAGATATTCAAAGATATAGTTCCATGTTATACTAAATAGGTCTAATGTAGCTTGGTCCGAAGGAATTTAATTCGAAATGGTAAATTTAGTCCTATGAAACCGGATTAAATTTAATTGATTTTGCAAATGTCCTTTGCGATTAATTGGAGAATGTTCTTTTCGAATATGCATATCTCAAAGAATACTTTATAACGATTTCTGAAACAGAACATATCTAGCAGAATCGAACACGTCGTACGCATACAAAAGAGCCGTAAATGTCGGTGAAGATCCGAATATACGATTAGGACTTATTAACCTGCAATGTGTTAGAGATCCAAGTTCAATAACGGGATTCAACACTTTCTTTGCAAACCAATCTTCGAATCCATGAGCTGCAGAGATGTATGACGAAGTTATTTTTTAATATATTCAATTTAAGCTACAAAACAGTATTCCTGCACAAAGTCCCTTCGCAGTTTCGCTTGATTCACTTCTAATTAACGAATTTGTATCGACACGTCGAATTGGCTTCAAAATGATTTATGTAACAAAAACATCCAATATGCATACGGATAATGCTAACGGTCGTTAATTTTGTTTGTCCTCTGCCTATTTGTTACCTATAAAGTCTTTTCTCCAAGAATGGTATTCAGCAGCAGAGGGCCGCTACTGAACCCGAAACGCGCCATAAACCCTTCCCATTCAAGAACGCACGTGACAGCGCCCTCACCAAAACAATATCGGCAACAAGCAAAGCATTAGTCAAAACATTTCCGACAGCAGGCGAACCGCCAGGCGCTTGAAGCAGATGACAGCCAGTGGGAATGCGATGTCTGGTCAACGGACCCAACTGATTAAATTACGTTGGCTGTTTTTTTTGAAGAATAATAACTATAACGTTGAGGCCGGTAATCGTCGTGAACAACACTGGCTAGCGGTAAGAGAAAAAGAGGCAGTGGAAATCGGGACACGCGCGGTAGAATTACCAGAGATGGTGTTAGTATCATTAATGGTTCTTTAGTCAGTAGTCCGAAACAAATCCTTACGAGAGCTAGTTGTCAGATAACGAGTGCAAATTGCGGGCTTAGCATCAGCAACACACAGAGTGATAACATTAATCGTAGTACTAATGGAAAAGTTGATCTCAATGACGATGACAACAATAACAATAAACAAACGACGATATGCAAAAAGACTCGGTGGGGCCTTGATACAGCAGCTGTAACGCTCGTGATAAGCGAACACGAACATCCAGCAATTCCACCTGCGGCCTGGATTTCAGCGACGGAGTCAGTAGCAGTAACAGCAACGGTCACAACAATAAAAATAGACTCAAGAAAAACGACGATGGCGTTCCAACCGCCTCAGGATATTAAAGGACGAAAAATCTTGGAAGACCTGCAACAGAAAAAGCAATTCCTTCTGATTAAAAATCCACCTCAACAACAACCTACCCCAGGTTAGTGTAATTTGTCCAAAGGCTTTGTGACGAAAACGTTCGAAGTTGTTCGTTAAATTTGTTAGTAAAAATAAGCTTCGAATAATCTCTTGAATTTATTTGATTCGTGGTCAAACGCTGTTGACCAAGCCAAGCTTGGTGATACAAGTGAACAAAGAGTGATATGAAAATATGAGTTTTTGTCCTTTGTTCGTCTGTGTTTTTGCTAAATTAGTTGAGACGCCAATGTCACAAAGCCAGCGGACAGCTCTTGCTCACGCTCAACAAACCTCGCCAGGATATTTCGTAACTCAGGAATCGTCATTCGGAAATCTTATTCTGCCTGTCCTGCCAAGATTCCCTCCAGGACCACCATCTACAACGCCGTCAGGGACAGCCAACAACTAGAAGTCGCGTTGTACAGTGTTACTGGCTTGTGATAATACTAAAAGCGTCTACAATTTCTCCAAGAAACGTTTTCTCTAAAAATGTTTTCAAAATAATTATTTTTACTATCGCTATATTAGCAGGTAAAATGTCACAGACGATCGTTGCTTATGCCATCTTTTTCTCACCCCCTGTACAATAAACTTGTGTATAATACAACATTCGATATTTCATATAACATTTTTTTATCATTCATAGATACTGAAAATGAGCATTCTAACAATTGGTTAAGAGTTGTGGTAGATTGTCTAAGAATGGAGTGCGCGTTTAGTTGGTGCACTCTTCGACCAATATAATTTTTATAGAGGGACGAGACTGCAATCTTCAGGACGCTGATCGAAGTGACGCGTATAGTTATGTGGTGTCACTCTGTCAAGTTATAATCAATCATACTCATAACTACGAATACTTTTTCGGTAGACTTTCTACCGCCCATAACAAGTAGAAAGCCTGTTGTTACAACCAAGTGTTGGTGAGATTTAGATAAACAATGAAAGATCTTCTCTCTTTGTTTTCCCTATTTGGTTTATCAAAATTCCTAATTTCTGACCAAATGTCACGAATTTAAGATTTGTGTCGATAGTCAAGTGTTTGCAGGGCATTTGACGCCAATTAGCGAGCCTCAATTTGGTGACCGACATATCGTTCGGGTCCAAGATGCCGTCGTTGAGCTACGTAAACTATCTTCAGAAACTTAAGTCATAGAGTCCCTACAGCAGCCAACACAAATATCTTGGCCTACTCTGGGAGACTTTTGATCGTGATTCAAAACTAAAGTGATCTAAATGCTTCAAGATAAGTGCTGGTCTTATTTTTCGTTTTTGAGGTCCTTCCTATATCACGTTGTCCACAGTATTATACTTTCATACATTCACTATTTATTGCGACTTCCATCTAATGGTTTCGAACCCATTTGTGAATAATAATAATACCCTTTGACAACCAGATATGGCTAAAAAGCGTCTTTACTAGAGCGAATTTTGTAAAATAAATGAAAAGCAATGTAGGTCTAGTCACAGATACTTCATCGAAAGGTCAATGATGGCAACACGACAGTTGTCTACTCTGTTGGCATTTGTTCGTCGTTGTTGTGACGAAAAATGCACACTAATACGAAAAAAAGTATGATTTAGGTAAATCTTGTGAGATCGCTGGGGTTATATTAGCTTACATTTGTCAATTTATTTTAACGATTTAACTCTCGATTACAAAAACAAGTTAAATTCTATAGAATAAGACGCTAGTCATCTAACTACATGTCTTTAAACTGACTCAATATTAATAAGTTTTTTTTACAAAACGAGTCTGTGTACCTGCGCCATCAATACGAAAGTCGTCCAAATTTAACACCATATTTTAAATAAATCATGTCACCTTTATTAAGATATTTAAATTAGTCCCGCTATTTTAAACAGGATGATTTTAGTCTTAGTCTCTTCAATTTGACGAACGGTTTGAATTCATGATCAGGTATGACTTCTAACATAAACTCTTGCTTTAGAGTGAATCGACACTTCTGCGAGATTTTGATTGTGGTTCTACTACACTTTTGTTATATCAATTATTCCCCTTTGTCGCTGGCAATTATCTGGCTACGGCAATTATATTTCCTTGATAATTATCTTCTTTATATAAATGACCCCGTTGTCCGAGTACGCTCATTCTACTACCGTGCTTCAGTGCTTGGTTACTCTGCTGAAATAAGCTCATTACTGCGTCGATATTAATTTGTTAATGACTGCATGTTACCTGCTATCTGAACAGATAACAGAGCTCGACCCTTTTATATTGCCACTGTTTAATTCCAGTAAAACTAACTTCTATCCGTGCACACGGCGGCATTCTATATTCTTGTTTAACCCAGATCCTTTTCCCTTCCTTAATTGTGCCCTCTATCATTGAGACGTTGTAATTTTGATACTTTATTGCGCGTATTTTGTTTCCGCATTTCAGTTTATAGGTCCTTCTAATTTCCAGTTAAAAACGTGTTCTTAGGAACAAAAGCATGTATATAAAAACTGCAACGATCACACATGGCATCGGCAACGACATACCACGTGTGGATTTATTAATGAGTATTAGACTGTACTGCCTCTTTGTCGATCGAGATTTCGCTGAAGCATATTAGTTATTACCAAATGCTCTATATCGGCTAGCATATTTCCATCTCTTGAGTATAATTTGATATCTACTAGTTACTACCTGATGTTATCTATCAGTCCGAAAGAACTTTCAGTTACAGTTCTGCTCAGATTAGGTCGCTGAACATAACTGATTTCAAAAACTTAGATTCAGGCTATAATAGATAGCTGCATTATACGCTCTACACAAATTAAGTACTTTATACAGATTTCGATCTGATATAAAGAAGAATATCGTGGAAGGCTAGGTTAAATGTTAACGTCATCGAATCTGTCGTTTACTGCCCTCTTTTATTTGAACTTATCTAGACCATGGCTTGTGTCTCAAATTTAAATCTTTACCTACATAGAGATGAAACGGAAAAAAACATCTTAAGAATGTTTTTTTTTCTTAAGAATGAGCTTGGCTGTCGCAACTGAAAAAAAGTTTATCAGCGCATTGAACAAGGTTGTAGTAATTTACTCGTTTGTACAATTCCTTATGACAACGCTTCCCGTTTCAAGTCCAGTTCATGCAAATGCTATTAGACGACCGTGCGTATCCGATGAACATCACACCCTGTAATAACATTCACACATGGAACACGCATGCTTTTAGTAATATGCAGCACGTAAGTTTTTAGTATAGTTGTATCGTCCATTGGTTGATATCATTTGCCACCCGTATTGTCAGTAATATTACGGAAGCTCGAAGAGTAAACTATGCCGGTAGAACACCTGTAAAACAGTAAAACAGTTCTGATTGCGCATGGTAGCAAATGAAAAGACCAGAGTTCGATAGGCGCGCTACCACTGTCAACATGCATGACACGTGAAGTATTATAATATTTATTCAGATGGAAATAGGTCAAAATATCCTAATTGGAAATTTGATAATTCCTGTCAGAATCTCAACTTTGTGTGTCTGTTTCCTCTTGTTTCATTTAGTGTGCCACCCTATGTCTCCACGGTTAACTCTTTAAGGTTATGTTTTCATCCGTCTAGCACCTTTTACTGAGTGCTTGTCAATCACTTAGTGTTTCGTGGCTTCATTAGGTACTCGAATGGCATCTATTTACAGCCCTCCGATAGACCTGAACTCTATCCACATCTCTTTAATCCACATCGGTCACTGGCCATCGCTTCTTCTACGAGTATCTGTTTGATTCATGGCTCAACCATAGCGAATCTTTGCTTTCAAGACAGAAGAGAGACAGAGGTTCCTTTCTCAAAAAAACCTATGGCAACGATCAGGCGGAAAAAATTGCAATAAGACACTGGCATGCCGACGCACAGGATCACACGTCTACACCTAAGCCAACCTTTTAAAAGTCAGGGAGTATTAAGACTATAAGGAGTTCTCTATTGACTGGGCCACCGAAAACAACTATCAACTCGTGAATAACACGGCCGAGAAAAATCTCCTGAGATGCTTCAAGTTATATCCATTACGAGCGATTCGAACTTTAGCAACAAAGCTCGGTTCGCCAAAGTTCTCAAGCCTTTCAAAGGAAGGAAGACCCAATACTAATTAAAGGTTCCTGCGGATTTTCATTGTGGACTAAATATTACTTTATTTCTAGACATTTTCAGAGCTTCAGCTTTAAAAATTTCCACGCTAGTCTTTGAATACAATGCAGTGCAACGCTTCGAGATCTTAAGCAAGCGCTGAATGGTAAAAATATAGGCCATTATTTCTACGAGTAACTCAAAACTTCGTACATTCAAAATGCACGTCTTCGGTGTTAATTTTACAGGCAAATTGGCAAATTCTTGTCATTTCAGTATAAAATACATAACGGGTTGCTCGGGTATTTTGTAGGATCCTGTGATTCCACGTTGTTGTTCCGGTTGTTGTTGATTATTGTTCCCGATATCAATTCAAGACTTCCCTAAATACTTTTAAAGTTAAACTCTCACATTTAAACTCACATAACTGACAGATTTTATATTACTTTTTCGCCTTCTTAGTGGTCTGAGGTCCCTCTTTATTCTATGAATTGTATACATTTTGTTATTATACGTTTACTAACGTTCATTTGTATTCCTGCGTCAAGAAACCTGCGTCAAGATGTCAAGCCGTACAACCTTCTTATCAACCGTAAGGAACGTTGATTGTGCCTCATCGATTAAGACCTTGCTGACTTCTATAATTTCAATCTCAGGTACAATATTCGGTTTGTTTTAAGAGCTCTATGATTCTTCTCGATTTTATGTGTTATGACTATTTTCTGTCATGTCAAGAAAGAAATTATACTACAATAGTGTGATTCCATTAACCAGTTAGTAAGCACCACCAAGGTGCTTGATGTAAAATACTTGCAAACCTATGTATATCAAATCATAACTGAAATAAACGCGACGAGCATCTTCGATCACAAATCGCGTTTTAGATATCTTAATGTTTAATATGAAGGTCGAAAAATTTTCAGAAAACAAGTTGTTGGAATAGTAGGGAGATAGAAATTGCAGGGAAAGCTAGCTGGAAGTGCTAAGTGTTAATAAAAAATAGCCTTAATACACGTTACAGTAGTCCGATTCGCGTTGTAAAGCTGAGCGCAACTCCACCTCGTGGGGGGTAACGTTGATTATCACAAAACACTCTGGTGGAATACTTTCGGCAATAATAACTGCTTATCAGCAGATTCCTTCGATGCTATCGATAAAACTTTGGGATACGATAACTGTTAGAAATGAGGATTTAACAACGCTGGCCCATCGTTATTACTAATATATGATATAATAAATACGCAGTGAACTTTGAACGATTGCTCATTTGAAAAAACTGATTGAAAAAAGATTGACAACTGAGAGTACAAATAAGATAATAAACAACTATAATGCATTCGTTTATCAGTTGTTTTAGGTCATCTGAATCTTCATTCGGAAACGACGTAACGCGTTATATAAATCTCAAATCTTTCAAATCCGCCTAGCGAAGAATCGATTTGAGATGAGAAACGTTTTCCAAGCAGATATTTTGAGAAATCAAAAAGAACATTGGTGCTACGGCATTTAACACCTATGCCTTAATCTTATTTTCTCGGTTAAAATGGTTTGTTGATGTACCAACATTCTGTCCCTATCAACCTTACTTCATTCACTTTTGCGTAATATGACCATAATTCATTTGAAAGGCAGATTACGCTAGCTGCAAGTGACGCCACTGCAAAAAAATAAGTGATATCTGATAAAAATACTAGTTTACAGCTAAAGAATATTAAATAATTGCTAGCCAAATCAGTGGAGTTGAGCGTTGCAGTGCACTATGCTATACTGTAAGAGCGTTCTCCAGCTACACGTTTAACACCATCTTGTGTAGTTTCACAACAGACACTTTTGTTGTAACGCCTCTAATTTTTTTTTTATTTTTACGTCAGGTGTCGCCGTTAGGCATTTCCCACACTCCTAATACGAAACAAAGTCTAGAACCCTAGATGTCCTAGAACCTAGATCACAACGTGTTCCTAAAAGTAATAGGCAAATATGTTGCTTACTAAATTATCAGGAAGACTCCTCTCAAATCCTACGAGAATATCGGTCGAGTGCGTGAATTGTATAAGGCGATACACAAAATCAAGTGGGCTCAAGAAGAGCATCACCGCATTATTCGAGAATGATAAATGGAGAGCTCCGTCAGCATTCGCCGATCAGGAAAGGAAATAGCTAGCGTCGCTCTGTATACTTACTAAAGTCTACACCCGCGTGACAGGCCTCGGATGGTTCAACTGACGCGGTCGGGCCATGGGGACACGTAATGCGGCGTGAAATTTCACTGATTATGGAGTACTATGCCTTCTGGCAGTATTGTAGACAATACGTGAATATGTTTTACTATAAAATCCCTTCTAGGGCCTGTTGTAGCACCAGGACAAGGGAGATAAACTATTTTCTACTCTGTGTTTAGTGATGATCTATTCCAGTGTTTTGCGATATTTCCATTTTTCAGTTTGCCAAAGTGATCCCATAGTAACTAGGTTAAAGATATATTTAATATAAACCATAAAGCAAACATGATAAGTTCATAAACTCAACAGTGACATTCGAACGACGGAAAACATTTCCGGATGCAAAATCTTATTCGAATAGGAATCTATTTGACGGGTACTTCAGACAATTAAATAAAAAGATATAAGTCTTACAGCCTGAAACTGAAAACTGATTCAATATACGCGCGAAGCTTCTGACATCGATCTCAAATATGCGGAAAATTTTCAACGTTAGCTTTGTGTTGACGTTTATTGTTCAAACAGCTTGTTAGTATAAAGCCGGCATAAACTAAATGGCCTCTCCATGTTCGTTTCGTTTCTTAGATACCTGACCAGTTATCAAAATAAATGATAATGATATTTTGTTCTTTAGAGAAATAATTATTTGGTTTAGTAATGATTAAGCTTTTTGCTGACTATAGCGGGTGGTCTACATTAAGGTTCTGATTCGCGTTGTTAAGTTTTTCAAAGCTTATTATCTAGGTCAAATATTTAAAGTCATGCTATTTTAACAGCCATACCTACGTACATAGTTATACATACATAGTGAAATTAATGCGTTACCACTAGAAAAAGTTTATGGTTAAAGAACAACTGATAAAGAATAAATAATTTTTTTTTTAATTTGGGCAAAATTTAGGGAGACATTGTTAGCTTTTTTATTGGCTATATTTGTATATCTAGAGACAAGTAACATGTAATTAACGACTCTTGAAAATATAACTCACGTTTCAAAACTGGTTATCACTGCCTTTTCGAAAACATGGCTCCAGCCAAATATCTACGTACATTCAACCCTATTCGCACAAGAAATGGCACAGAATAAAATATGGCAAGAGCGATGATAATAGCTTACCGAACACGGATAGATTCGACAAATCCGCAATATAAATACGCTGTAGCTTGCAGTATGGAAGCGTGCTGGTTTATTATGGCACATCGATTCTCAGTTGTTAATATTTCCCAGATGTTGTTGTCTCATTAGACAGCTTCGTATTAAACAGCACACAAAAATTTAACAAATTAAATGCTTACAGGCATATTTTAAAAAAGGAACTTAAGAAAATATGAACGCCGAACAACGACTGCCATCGATTAGTAAGAACCATTATGTGTACGGTGAGCATTTTTGTAGGAAGGAAAAACGGAGGAGTAGATTATAATGTAGCAAATGTAGGATAATCAAAGCAACACTTTTATTGTAAGCGAAAATTATGGAAGTAAAATGCAATAAAAGAGCACTTGGTCTCGTCAAAGGTAGTAAACAAGTATAAAAAAGGTAATAACGGATATCAGTGTCCGTTTTTAAGTTCGTGTTCAAACACCCTCACTCAAACACTAATGCTCTATCTTTAGAGTCAGGCTGTTCGATGTGGTATAGCCTGATAATATTAGGTCCACTTCAAGATTTTCAAGGATCTTAACTTTCCACTGGATTCGATCACCGCTCACAATTTTGGGAACTCTGGTAACGCAGCGTTTACCGCTGGCTTTGATTATGCTCTCAAACACTTCGGAATTTGAGCCGTTCCCAATTTTTTGAAACATCCTGGGCCATTCCACGCAATTCTGTGATTCGTGTAGTCGCAATATGCGGTATGTCGTTCCTTATTGGAGTTCTCATTTCTCGTAGGAAAAGTCTCCCGTAGACATGGCCTGCATTGGAGTTCGCTCTTCTGGCGCCATTTGTGTCGACTAGTAATCTTTTTGAATTAGCCAAGTTTTTTTATGTATACAGCAATATATCATAACGACTGGCTCTCATAGACCCGTTAAAATGAATCGGCAATGTATGGTCTTTACGGACACGTTAAAATACTGACAAAAAAATTTAGTAGTCAATTTCGATGGAGATGGTGGAGGACGATCAGACCTAACAAAAGGAAGTGCACTGCATAAATTTCTCAGTTTAATCGATGTCTTCGCATCCAGATTAGTGACACATAATAACCAACGGAAGTCGACTCAGTTTTTTTAATACTTATTGAAAATGATGCATGTTCCGCAGTTGAATATACTTTGTCTTTTCAATACAGGGGGTAACAAGAAAAACGATAACATTGATATGGGAATCTATGTCAACTATGTTATAAATATGATTTTAAAGATTTAAATTCCCATAGAAGTAAATGAATGTAATGGCATGAAAGGTCTTCGTTTAGCCAAAATTCATGTAGGGGCTCACCATATGAGCATGCACAAGACCCTGCAGTGATATAATGATCGCAGTATGCAGCGAAATCTCAGGCACCATAATGCTACTGCCTCGTTGAACTGATTAAAGATGATTGAGAAAGATTTCGCTTAGAATAAACGATTTTACTAAACTGTATTATTTTTTTTACATTGGTTTATCTTCTGTACTAGTAATACCAATTTAGGGTCATTCTTTTTTTTTAGTTTTAGTTACTTGACGTTGCTTTTTTCACCAACCTGAGAAAACAATACGGAGATAAAGATCTCACCAAGATAGATATAACATTCGTAGTTCGACTGAGGGCACATGATGTAATACTAAGCAAAGGCCAATATTTTTGATACCATCAACGATGAACCGTTTTTCCCGCCCATGATCGTGGCATGTCAAAGAAAAAGAGTAAGAACCTTTACCAAATCATTACGACACGTCGCCCGTTATCTAACGTACGCACTGTGGACAACGTATTAAATCAACACAAACAAAAATATTCAGCTCCTACAAGAATATCAAGTAGTATATGAGGCTGACCTGAATTGTTTTTTTGTTATAGCATCGTATAGTAAAAATATACAAATATATTTGCAAAGCCTTCCGCACGCTTTCACCGGAGAACTAGTGGTTTTATGTGAATATTCCTACTCGCACTTATATACATATAGAACACACGTGAAAGAATCAATAAAATGAGTAATCTTAAAAATAAAATTGTCACATTATTAGTTACGCGCTGGTCGAAGAGTCTGATAGTTTTGTAACCTAAGATGCAGATCGCATTCTGAGCTTTATGGGCATTAACATTAACGTTCAGTACTTACATAGTATTTAAGCTTTCTTCAACGTTTCAATCTGTGCGAAAACAATATTAGACAGTATCATTAAGTGCGTGTCGTTTTAGGTCTGAGACTGCTCATTTTTTAAGCCAAAGGTTCAGCCGTCCAAGCTATCCGAGGAATCATAACCTTTTAAGACGTAAGCCGCACGTGATTCTTGAATTAAAAATAAGAATATAAGCAAGTTAGTTAAATCAAGGTATGATTAAATTAAATGGCGCCTTTATTCACACAAATAAGCAAGTGTAGCATATAAAAAAAGGAATTTTGTAGCATATATCAATTAATAAAGAATAAATCCAGGCGTGCCACATAATAAACCGTTGTCATAATTTACACTATTGCTTGATCCGGGCATAGTGTGGTACTAAAACCGAAATGCAACTTAAAGGCCATGTGGCAAGATTCTTGGTTATACATAGTCTTTTGATACGACTGCTTCCTGTGTATGATATCAGTGAAATCATACCGATCCGAATGTCAACACCGAGGTACCGTTTCGTCCGTGTGTTAATGAGAACCACACTCATGTAACTACGGGTTCAATAGACAGAGAACAAATGTCACATTTCCATGCAGACGTCGTCATTTTTGCAAAGGAAGCACCTATTCAAAACCTAAAATCATCGCTCAAGTCGAATTCATGAACCCGAAAATTAATTCAAATTTCAAATAACTACTACTCTACTGTAATTCTAGTAACGAAGTAAAAAAATCAAACATGATAATCACACATCGTTAGCAAAGCCAATCACCGCTTTAAAAATCAGTTTACAAGTAGAACTTAACACATCCAAGTACGTTCGTCTCAAAAACATTTATTGGTTTTTCTTTTTCTTGTTTTATTTTCCTTTATTTTAACCTTGTGGCGTCATTATAATCGTCGTCGTCCTTTGTTACTTCTGTCTGAATGTATTTTCCACTTTATAATCATTATTATTTACTATACTTATTGTTTTTGTCCCAGCATCATCGTATCGACCCTTGACTTATTTTTCATTGCATTATTACTTGTATAAATAACGCTTTGGACACGTCAGACCACGGCCGCCATCGGCCGACGAGACATTTGACGCCTTCCGTAAAAATGCTACCTGCTCCGAACTCTCCTCAAATTCTTTACTCTATTATATCCGTTATCATCTCCATTATTATCTTCATCATATTATTACTACCGTTTACTCACCTCGAATTTCTCCCGCAACTGCCTAATGCTTTCCAGCCGCCATTTGGCTCGCCTATTTATGAAGTGCTCTCATATTGTTACTACTATTATTCTTATTATCATATCACAACGATCATAATCGTCATAGCATTCGCTTTTAGTGTTATTTTGCTTTTGCTGTCTTCGTTAGTACTAACGTGCGTACATTAACTACACTACAAGGTTCAGAATACAACTATCTCCTCATTTTCGTACGTAATGTTGTCTCAAACCGATGCCATTTTATTTATATATAATGTATAATACAAAATTCAGGCCAAGATGGAAAAAGATTGCCTACCGATGGAAAAAGAAGCCACAAATACATGCTAAACCCAGTTTTCAATCCGGTTCACTACATTTTACGTTCATCTCGACCTATTTGCCTAACTTTTAAGACATTTTTTGTATCGACATCTGTAGCTCCAAAAATTGTCTTCCTATCCTCAACTTCATAACTAACCCCGCACACCCCTTTTCGGGTCCCTATAGACTATACCGCTCATCTCGCCTTATTGGCTGGTTCTTTTAATTGTCACCCGTCTATTTACTGATATTTTTGTTTCAAATCCAAGTCTTATGGCTTTCACGTGGCGGTGATAGCAGAAGTGACGGCGACGCCGATGACTGCTTTAGCCTGCCGTGGTCAACGCCTCATCATAATCCAATGGTATAGGATACATAATAATAGAATGAATAATGAACGTTTATATGTGTATACATGAACTGTATAAATTTATGACTCAATGTCGTTCCTCACTAAGAGTTTCATCGTTCAAGGCAAGTAGGTTATTTGTTTTCGTTTGTGGTTCTCCAAATTGTCTTTTGATTTTTGTGCCATGCGGCCAGTTATCCCACAGACACGCGCTAAGAAACAGTCCGAAATGAACCTCGCTAATGTTCAGGTATGATTCTGGTCTGACGTCCATTTCAAGCCTTAAGATTCCTCAAGTATTTTCCCATCATACAGCGACCGACACGTGAATATTAAGAACTAGGCTGAATCATGGCTAGAATTCTTACGGTGAGCCTGGGACCGGTGTATATAGCGCAACCGAGCAATTATCTTGACATGCTTTTATTAATAAGCCGTTTCTTCCTCATTCAAATACCTAATTCCTCATTATATTTCTCTATATTACAGATCGATATAGCAGCATGGATCGGATCAGAATGTGAAATGCGAAATAGAAGCAAGCACAAGCTTCATGTGCCATTTTTCCGTTCCGAATTCCCTATTGTTACTCCACACTCCGTGGTTTGCCGAGAGCTCACAATTGTCATCATCGATCATTGGTTGACGGCAACCCGCCATGCACATCTGTGCGTACGTGTCCATCACATTTACTCATCTATGGACGCGTGGCACATTTTACAACAGCCCATTTTTATTCGCCAATTATTTATTCGTGTCATTATTATCATTATAGTGTTGTACACCTGATTTCATCCTAAAACACAATACCCCTTAATTATAGTCATTCTTCACCTTTAGTTATCGTTTTTTGCTTTCATTACTAGTTTTAAATCCTACCTCCTTTCACGACCTAGTCTTGCCCTGTCCCAGCGAAAACTCATCTGACGCCTCATTACGTTAACACCCAAGACGCGCCTATATTTCTGCATCGTATTTGTTGCCATTCTCCTCATGCGTTCGACCTATCTCGACGCACTCCAAATCATCTCGTCTATCCGGTCAACGATAAATCTCCTAGCTTTTTTCGTTATTAGTTTCTTATCCTTATCTTATTTTTGTTAGAATGATGATTATGATGGAGGGAAGTCATGTTAGTGATTTATATTCGATTACCTCATCATTGTTTTGTTTCGTTTCCATCGTATTTTCAGCATCATTTTTTTGTTTTTGCCGCTTCTGCATTTGCGTTTATTTAGTATATTCCTAATAACGTATTTGGTACGTTAAATGGTGCATCTGTGATCGTTTTTTCAATCGTTTAAGACGTTACGCTGTGTTAATCTTTAATAGATGTAGGTCCTTAGTGGAACTGCGTGTTTGTTGTCAATTCAGTTTATATTCGTATCCTTAGATGTTGAAGTACTTACACTGCTTCTGTCGTTGTCGTTATATCAACATTTAATTTGGCTGTGTTGCTGCCATTTCTACGAAGATTTGTTAGTACAGGACTGTGTTTTTGTGAGAATGTTTGCTAGAATCGTTATGCGGTTGTCTGTTTTAGCTCGAGTAAGCAACCGTCGAAAGTCATCAATATACTTGTAGAATATATATTTTAATCAACCACTTTCAACTTGTTATTATTACATTTTTTGTTTGTTGTTTTTGATGCGGAAAACCATAGAAATCAATATCAACATTATCACCATCGTAAAACCATCAAATCACACCACAAAGGATGTAGAGCAACTGTTGGTAACGATTACGGAGCATCATCGTCAATATCGTCAACATTATTTTTTTCAACTACTGTTTTTCGTACGGTCTTTCTTGTCAGTGTTCGCTTAAAACTCATTGCATGACAGACCTTCCCCCTCTCCATAACTCCCCGTGTTTTTCCTTGCACTCGAACAGTGCACTTTGCGCCTCCCCAGTCTCTATGTATTTCTGTGGTTTTTCATATCCTCAGACAAAAATGTCTATTAATTCTGTTTCTATCATCTACTGCCGCCGGCGTCGTGTATCAGTCATTACATAGATTTTCTTTTTGTGATTTAGGCCTCGGCTTAACGATTTCTTGACACAGAAGTCATATAAGGGCGAGATCGGACCGCTCATTCAAACGTTTCATTCCTTAGTTGATATTCGAATGCCTTGGCTTTGGTTATTGAAAACCTTTGTTTTTTTCTTATAGCCTCTTCTTTTTCCTGCTTGGTCGACTCCATATGTTCTTGTTATAAGCGTACTTAAGCCTTCCCCGACATCCTCACAGTTGCTTCCAGTCAAAAAGATCTTCAGGACTTCCACTATACATTTTAAGTTCCAAAACTCCATTTTGCTCACTTAACTTTTTATTTGTTTCATTGACGCTATGCTCAAATAATGCTTTTCAAACCTCGAATTGAGAATGTCGTTCTATTTTTTTTTGTATTTATATACTTAATTCTATAAATATATTGTACGTTATTTATATTTCTCGCTCACTCATTCAGTTTAGTTCTGCCTGTTTGAGTCTACAGTATATATTCACACTAAATGGCTCTTTTTCTCACCGTCACTCCATATGGTTCGAGGTCTTATACTACGAGCTCTGCCAAAATCAGTATCTTGTCAATGCACCTGAATACACAGTCACTGCCGATGGGCTGTTAGTGTCTGACTAAATTGCTCCTAGCAGCATAAAAATACATGTACAAGCTGTATTTCCTTCAATTACATTTGCGATATTAAATTTTTCGAGGGAAAACAAAGACTCTTAGAATCTTAGGCGCTGTGATTACTACTATTCTGTACTAGTGTTCGATTTGTCGCAGCTAAAACAGTAGAGCTTTCGTTGGGTACGCGAACGCGATGTGTGTGAAGGTGATTTACCCACTATGAAAATTCCCCTATAGCATTTAAGACTCTCAGACCTGTGACTGCAAGACGGGGTATACAGAGCCCTATTTCTCCTTGGAGATTGACGAATCTACGATAGGTATTTAGTAGAAACAGCGCAACCTAGACAGGCAAAGCACTTGGCAAAATTATACCCGAGGCTTATTTCGCACACTGCACCATACTTAATAGCTGCAGCAGCAGCAGCCTTAATCAGTAATAATAAAGTTGTCTTTTTTCCCGGGAATATTCACTGTTCCAGAATTTCCGCAAATCGTTTGTGTCCGGAATGAACTTTTTCCTGCGAAAAGACAGCAGGCGGTATATAGTCTCTCTCTCTCTCTTTCTCTCTCTTTCTCTCTCTCTTGCTCTCTCTCTCTCTCTCTCTTTCTTTCTCCCTCTCCTTTTAATTTGATTGATATAATCGATTTGTGCCATTATAGCCTTATGGCCTCGTAAAAACAGAAAAATAGTTTTTTTGCTTCCTGGATTCCTCAATGTCTCCATCAGGGCAGCCTTACTTAACATGTAAATTGCATTGTCTTCTTTATGTGAGTAAATATGTTTGTATTGTAAAACGGTTTTTATGATTCGGCATATACAACGGCGGCAACCTGCTATTGCCCAATTGTTTATGTTTATTACTCTCGGTGTGAGTTGACTACGCGCTGCTGCCGCTAAAAATTCCCTCTTGTTTGTTGGTTTTGGCTACATCACAACAAAGCACTCGGAAAAGAGGCTAACGTACTGTCAAATTTGACCATCGACAGAGACAACAACGGCAACTGCAACTACGATTACTACAGCTTTAACGCTACGCTACTGTTACTAATTCTATCGTCGCTACTACAAGTTTTGTAAGAACAGTGGAAGACTGCAGGTACAACGGGTGACTGGTAACGTTTCTGAGCTTTTTCACTTCAGTTCAGGGGACTGATGAATGGAGCCGAGCCAGCGGAATTAAGACAAATACCCCACAAATACCCCAGTCCTGTCGAGCTCCCCTTCAATGTGTTTCTATCTTTTTCTCTCACACGCGCACACACACACGCACATGCACACGATTCGTGATTTTCCCGTTGCCTTGCCACTCTGCGTGCCATGTTCACCTGTTACCGAAGTATTGAACAGCAGGCAGTGGCATTGGCTTCGGAGGCAGCAGCAGCAGCAGGATGGGTCGGGTTGGTGCTGTCATCGTGTCACCGTCATCACAGGGAGTGCGCTAGTTGTTGCCAAGGTGTCTGTTGCCGCAAATGATTGACACAGAGGGCGAGCGAGCGTTGAAGAAGTGGCCGATGGGTGGTGAACTTGATTTAATGGTGGGTTATAGTGGTTATCCTTTTGGTTGTCGTGGCCGTCTGGGGCTGGCTGTGTCTAACTGGCTTGGCTGTTGTTACCTTGGCTATTTTGTCCACTGGCGGATGCGGATGTCGGCGGTTGTCCACTTTGCTGCGAATTTGGTGACGCGGTACCTGGCGAAGACGGTGTGGCACCAGGCATTGTTGTACTGGCACCGCCAATTTCTTTGGCGCGGTTTACTACAGGATAGAAATATGGATGCTCCATGGCTTCTTTTGCTGTTAATCTGCAATGAATAATGATGTGTAGCAACACACATTTAGGTTGACAGTGTAGCCAACGTTGGCAAACTGAAGTTGGAATAATTTTAAAGGTCGTTTAGAATAACTAGTTACTGTGCACGACAATGCATAACATATTTTTAAAAAGTTGTTGCTTAAAAGTCACCCGGAGGAGAACTTAATATATTTTGCATAAACCTACCTTTCTGCATGATCATATCGGAGCAATTTGTCAAGGAAGTCTAGAGCTTCTGGGCTGACAAGATGTTGGTTATCCGAATGCACAAATCTCTCCCACCGCTTTCGCGAATGCCTAATATTCAAAGTAAATTATAGGAACAGGGAATAATATACGGTTCGTATATATATACATACATATACTATAGAACGCTATGATAAGTCGACTTTTGCTCTGTAAAACACTACAATTTCCGCATTGTGAAAAAGAAAAACGTGTGCGCCAAACATTTCTACAACGAATGTAATAAATTGTTTTAAAGTTACTCAAAAAACGTCCACCTTCTTGCAATTTATCTATATCAACAAAATGCACCTTGTTGTTTTTATGTTTTAACAAAATCCCATTAATTGAATAATTTTGGTGTGTTAAATCGAATTTATCTATGGGCCAAATTATACAGCAGGACCAGGCACACCAGATCACTTCGATAGCTTTGCGATGATGGCTCATGTGCCAACGCAGGCTGTTATTAGTTTATGATTTGACTCACCTGCCGAGGATGTCGTTGAACCGTGCGTCAAGGATGATGCAGTATTTCTCAGTGTATTCAAACAGTTCCTCGGTGCCTAGTACCTTAGCAATTCGTACTAGCTGGTCGTAATTGTCATGTCCATGAAAGAATGGCTCCTTCCGAAAGATCATCGACGCAAGCATGCATCCCAGTGACCACATGTCAAGCGAATAATCATACATCTGATAATCAACGAGAAGCTCGGGACCTTTAAAGTAGCGTGACGCAACTCGGACGTTATATTCCTGGCCTGGATGGTAGAATTCAGCGAGACCCCAATCAATCAATCGCAGCTTGCGCTCCTCGTGATCAATCATCACATTGTGTGGCTTCACGTCTCGATGCATTATTCCTATAGAAAAAGTTGAACGTACTTGGAAAACACCTCGGTACATTCATCACATCTAATGGCGTCGTACTACTAACGATAATGCTAAAACTATCAGTTAATCTGTTACTTACTAAATATATAAAAGTTGTGAGGTTCCGAAATAATTAATTTGGAGATACATCATAGTATGGGCGTCATGGTTATTAACATAATCTACGGTTACTTACCCATCGAATGGGAGAAATCGAGGGCCTTGAGCAGTTCATATAGATAATAGCGAATGTCAAAATCTGTCAGCGTCTGATAAAGTTGTTTAAAATCTGTATTATTGACATGTTCAAAGATGAACGCTGGCGTTCGTGATATCGGATCCTTTACGACGCCCTGCAGGGTAATGATATTTGGTCCCCCGCGGAGATTTTCAAGAATCTTAATTTCACGTTTGATCTTTTTCTTTTTAACCGGTTTAAGTATTTTAACAACACACCGCTCATTGTTTGTGACGTTGATAGCCTCGAATACTTCAGAATATTTTCCGCGGCCGAGTTTTCGCACTAGCTGGTAGTCGTCCTGGTTACCCCACGAGATCGTGTGCGTTTCATAGTCCCAGTATTCACGTGGTCGGTGCGAGTTGACGTCAGCATATACGCGCGATTTGCTGCTAGGCGCGATATTTTGTCCCCCTAGCCCCGCCATTGTCACGCCGGCGTTTGCCGCCGTCGGACCCCCCCGATGATCGTTACCACTAATTCCGCCAATAAGACTAAACTCTTGTCTGTCAACAGTTCAGCCGGCGCTGTTTGAGGCTCCGACTGAAGGAGTGGCAGGGATAGTCGCTGCAGGTGTCGTCGACGTCAGCGGTGGATTGAATGGTAACACTGGTAAAGGGGTCTGTAACAGATGGAACTATAATTGGCCGCTGCCTATTTTCGATGGCGACGAGTATGGAGGCTGTTGATAAAAACACTATGCTGAAGTTTCAGGTGCAATGCAGAAACGGTGAGGAAACTTCGTGAACGTTTTGTGTTACCACTGAACTATGCCACTACTACTACTACTACTACTACCGTTGCTACTATTACTACTACTAATTACTATTACGACTACTACTACTACTGAAACCACACTTTTGTCTGTAGGTATACGGCACGCCTCCGACTGCGCTTCGCAGTTTAGGGGTAGTTTTGGAGTGGCTGCGGCTGAAACCAAGCGAACTCCACCTCCTCTGTGAATAAACGAATGAGAAAAAGAGTAAAGGCGATTACATAGTTTCTCGAAAAACGGCTTGGCAAGTCATCATCATTATTGTAAATAGCTACTATTTGTTGCGATTTCTTATTTCGTATCAAATCACATACTATATAATACAATACGTACAAACAAAATGGAAAGTTTGGTACGAAGTCTGTGCTAAACGGTTTTACACTTATATATTTTTTGGCTTTATGTATTATAGGCAATTAGTATATGCACTCAATCATAAGCATATGCCATGTTATATTATAGCTGATAACATCGAAATGGTACCATGATGCCGAAACAAATTCTGTTATCTTTCTCTCAGGTGCAGCTTGATTATGTTCAACCAAAAGCTAACAACCGGCATATGAGCCTTTATGTGTTCCCATCGCCCGGGTTCATGCCCCATTGCTAATTCACAGAAAATTGGTTTGCTACTAGCTGGGGTTGCTATTTTGTCGAAGGCTGCTGATTATCGTGCTAAAACTTGGACATATTGTGTTAAGTTGTTACGAAAACATCAGTCGCTCGTTTGCCGCCGAATCGCTAGAAGCATTAACGATGTTTCGTCGACCTATCACACCCTGGTAAGTGGGCGATACATCATAAGTAAATATACGCAGGTAAAGAGATACGTGTGTGGACGTTCAAAACGCACCTTTGGAAAGATACAGATAATTTGGAGGTCAAAAATTTATACCTAGCTATACTTTTATCTATAGTAGTAACTGTCTCGAACACTGCAAAAGCTGCCTTCATTATGAAATCATGTCAATACGAGAGTTTTATGAGTCTTTCTATTTTGACTTAATTGCCTTAAGTGAAACTTTGTTCCGCTTTCTAAGGCACACTAATTGTTTAATAAACTTATACAGTAAATGCTTACACCCAGCTCGAACAGCCTTGGAAGTGGAAGCATATACGAACGTTTCTTGTCCCATAAATTACACTGTCCCTTCTATAGGTCATCTACAATAGTAACAGCCGTCATCATCGAAGTTCGCATATTAAACAGTTTCTAGTCATATGAGAAACTAACCAGCACTTCTATAGTGAGCACCACTAAACGAAATTTTCAAACACACAGTAAAAAACATACACTAACAAGCAATAGATTTACCCAACAAAATGCGTACATATCGACAGACGCCGACGTTATATAAAAGTAAAAAGTTTTTATTACTCACAAGCGACTGTCCATGCACTCTGATCTCACCTTTTCACCCCTCGGTCCTGTTTCTATTATAAAATCTCTATCACGCACAACGAGGTATATGCAGTTATACCTATATATACAGCAAATAATCATATATCAAATACTCAACATGAATCACTTAAACCGAACTATCATCACAACCCCTCATCGTACCTCGGTGTTATGGGGGTAGCTGTCTAGATAGGGCAGAAGTACCAGTCAGGTCGCGTTATTTGTACCCGCTGGCAACGGAAGCGGCAGTAGCCCCGCGGACTCTTGAGTCGAGCACGATGCTACACAGGTACCTGTAGTAGCAACGAAGGGGCATTTATTGGTTGTAGTAGTAATGATGGCCAAAGTGAACTGGGCACAATATATGGTAAGGATAGTACTTGATATACGAAATATGACGGGTATTATCCTTAATCCTCCCGGGTAATAATATTTCTAGTTTGTTGTCTTCTCATCACCCTTCTTTTACTCGTACCTAAAAGGCGTCATTCAAACCCCATCTGAGGCGAAGACGTAATGAATGATACTTTATATATTAATTTCTTCATTAGTCGTTATGGTAGACAAACAATGTATAAAAGAAAGCTTCAACAAATGCGTTCCGTTACGTGTATGTGTTATACACGGCGATTAATTTATACGTGATTAAAGATAATCCTTGGCTTGGCGAAGCTTCTCGAAAATAACCCACCGTATTTTTCGTTAATGCCTTCCAGGAATATCAACAATAGGCACTAAAGTAGCGGGGCGAACAAAGATTAAAGCAACGTAAGAATCATGCGATTTTGTCGATGACAATTTTGAAAGACAGCGACAGAAGTTCCGCCCACGCAATGCATGTCCTACGCAACAGTCGTAGATGTCTAATGGCAGTGGTTCATCTAATGACTGCTGCTTTGTCATTGCTTACGACCATACTGATCTTTATGGCCGCTAACCAGCTAGATTTACGTAATAGCGTAACACTGCTCACAATGGGAACTAAGTAGTTAGAAAAGCCATCTTGTTTCTTAATTACTAGGGGTAAGTTGGTAAATCACGCCTTCACATGGTTTTTTTCCCTGCACTTCGCATATTTATTCATATGTCTAATATCTACCTATAGGAACAGGAACATACTATTACAATGACAACAACAACAAGTAAAGGATAATATCATTACTTCAGCGGATAGACTTTCAGTCGGATCGCTCCCTCTGGAGGGTTGACAAATCGGAAAAAGATGATCGATTATGGCCAGTAGCGAGGGTAGCATGAACCGTATTAATAGGCACCACGGCACAATATCCGCGCTCTGATCGCTGATAAACATATCAGGATTTTGAGCCGATGTCGTAGCTTACGTCAGCCTTTTTATTAAAGCGGCGATTGAGCCGACTTATGGAGTAAGTGTTTCCTTTTTTAGAAGAATATTGCACAACTTGGAAATGTTGGTTATGGCACTGTTCTGTAACGATTGAACTATTTAATGAAAAGGTATCTCAATGCAATTCGACCGGCCAATCGTTTAAGAAGGATCATCAATCAAAGACACCGTTTGTTCTTGGTGTAAGACGCACCTACTTGCCCCGTTGATAAACAAGCACAGGCAAACATGAGTAACCGGAACAACGTGAACGACAATCCCGTTAACACGACTACGAATCACACACTATAGAAATCAGGTAAAAACGATGGAATTTCAATCAAATAACAACGAGTGTGAAATAGCCAGAACAGAATCCGCAATTTCGCAAGCCGTTAGATAAGCAGTACATCAAACAAACTAAAGACTGGTGACTAGGCAGAGAAGTAACGGGAGCGTTATGGGGCAGACTTTGGCAAAAGAACATATTGAAAAAAAAAACAGGTCCGATCTAGAACAACAAACTGCGATTATGCGATCGTCAACAGCAGACTGAAACAGTCCCGTCAGTACAATCAGATAGTTACCACAAACATTAGTAATGGCGCACGCCGTGCAACTAATCTGAGATTTTCTACAAATTTATTTCTCAAGCTCGTTGATAAAGCTCTTTTTGTACTAGTAATCGAACAAGACGAATGATGCTATGATAGACACGTCGACGCAAAGCTAGATGACGCCTTTTTTCGAAAATAGTGTTTCGGCAAGTCCACGACCATCAGCCGCACAGGGCAAAACACGGGCTTTCTCATTAGTGTTACACAAAGACACACACATGTCACATCGCATGCCCATGTACGAATACAGAACAGAAAATTTAAAACAACGGAACGCCGGTATATTTACGAGTATTGCAAGGAAATACACGCACAGCTGCACTAATCGTCAATATCAACGTAATTTTACATTCATCCAGCTGATTTTCGTTTGATGGAAGTTAAATAATGCGACACTAATTTTACTAGCGCATTTTCTTATTTCTTAGCACAGCACAGATGAACGGTAAATGTTTGGCACCCGTTTTTTTTTTACTGCCAACTGGTTCAAAACGTTGGTACTGCTTATGATATCATGAAAGATGTGATGACAAGAGCCAACTGGTTCAAAACGTTGGTACTGCTTATGATATCATGAAAGACGCGACTACAAGAGCCAGACATGTGCCCGAGGCACCTGAATTTTCAAACCTACTAAAGTCAGACTTCGTCGACAACGTACACAATAGCAACTTAGTTACGGGACATCTATTAGATATTATAAACGAAGTAAACTAAACACATGTAAAAACTGATCGAGGCGCAATAGCAGCACCCTACAACTAATTACTACCAACGTAGCAGAACAGCTATACACGCCAGTCGAGGTCGAGACGTGCACTCTATGTTGCACAACTGTACGGTGAGAATTATATATTCTTGTTTTACATATGATGATATACAAATACGGTGTTGTTTGCTTTCCCTTTCACTCGAACTCTCGTCATGAACTTTTCTGGCTCTCACGTGCACAGAGCCGGTGCTATTAGAATCTGTGCCTGTTTTCGCATTATTGGCATGCGCTCCATGCAGCACGAAGCACGCACGGTAGGCTATCCATTTGATGTAGCTTTGATTTCCTTTTGCTCTCGAGATGGGCGCGACGAAAACGACGACTCGATTTAATGACAACTGAGAAGCTTAACAATACCTTCCAGGCACCATCAGAAAGGTTCCGTTTACATCAGCACATACTCGTTGAACACGGTGTGGCAGGCTCACTAGCACGCTAACCTACACCGGCAAAAACGGCAGCGTTGAGGCAATACACAGAAACAGCCGCTGTTACGTTGATTCGTCAGTTATTCGCAGTCACACACTAAATAGTAAGTTAACGCCACGGGTCGCCGCACGCGCCGCAACTTCGACGCCACTCACATACGTGCACGACTATGATAATAATAATAATAATAATAATACAGTGGGGAGATATGTTTGCTTGCTTGCTTACTCTCTAGTGGATCTTCTAGGTTAAGTCGAACTTGTGCAGTAGAACCCGGTAGATGGATTCGCTGCAGCGGCAGAAACCCGCAGCAGCCCGCAGATATATGAACTACACCGACGATGTTGGACCGAACCCCGCTAGTTTTTAATAGTCCACTGACGCTTGTTAATGAAACCGATTTACGTCACAGACATGCCATAGGCTCTGACGAGACTCCGGAAAACTCACCACACGTTGGACGAAGTGCGCAACGCAAAGCTCATGTGAAAAACGAGCGAGAAATTTCGCCAAGGCGAGGCCTAGAAAAAGCAAAACATGGCCTCAAGATGGCGGACAACGCCGGACCGATACAAAAATTGGCGCCAAAATTCAACTTGCGTCAACGGAAGACAAGCAGAACAGATCTCAGTATAACAGTCGGTCACAGTAGCAGCCGCGGTGTTAACAGTATAGGCTACCTAACTAACCATCTACAAACCTGGGTTCGTACTCACACAGGGGGTTCGTTGTAGCCTCATGTAGAAACTTGTACATATACGGCGCAGAATTGAGTGTGGCCTGGTGGGACTCAACTTGTTTTATTGCTGTTGTCCTGGGGGCATATGAATTCGTAGAGGAGAGCCATTATTAAAATTATGGTATAAAGTTTGCACAGTAAAATTGAACGATTTAAACGATCACACAGTAAAATTGAAATGAATAGGTATAAATATTTAGTTAATCAAAAAAAAATTATCGACATGTGAGCCAGAACATGTCTTCCAATATGTGAGATTTGTATATGTGAGAGTTTCAAATTTAGTTCTTTCTGATTTAGACTTTCTGAAGTCGAAAGGGTGATAATTAGTTTCAACGTCGATAAGCGGCTTCAACGAGTCGTCATTTGTGTTTTCTGAAAGAGCTGAATGTTTAATAACGTTCTCTCTTCGAAAGCTGTTCAACTTAATAGTGGTAGTCGAATTCTGTTATGTTGCTAATTTGAATATTTTGAAGATTTTTTCTTAGGTTAGGTCTATGTTCAAACGTGATCGACAGAACTATAACTTGGTTATAGTGTCTAAGTGAATCGTCTTTGTTTCGGTTTTTCGTGTAGTCACCGTTTGCAGGGTGTGGTACGGTCAAGACGTTTGGGTGGTAAAAATTGTGATTTCTTTTATAGTAATCTTCAAAGCTAGTAGTCCAATAATGCTTGAATATCGTAGTTCGAACAATGGACGTAGATAAAAGACACTATGCATGACAGATTTATTTAGCAATAAAATTATCTTACTCGAAAAGTTATCTGTTTTCGGATTGACCCGAAGTCGGGTCACATACATCCAATGATTATAGGAGGCAACACATACTCAATAGAGTGTATATATCCCGCTTACTAATGATGTTGTAACAAGGTTACGTAATCAAACGATAAAATCAATTACAATATTATTGATTTCCGTTCGTGTAATAGACAATATTTCCTGTATAAGGTCTAGCATTTCTTCCTTGCAAAGATAACAACCCATGTCGATATCGTCTCAACCTGTTCCCTGAACCGCCCGACACCAACTAAAGACGAGCCAGTGACCAATTCTCAATTTATTGTCAGCACCAACAATGTTATGTAGACGATAAAGCTCTCAACGGTGATCGTGACCATCACAAAGTGGCGGCGGTGTCGAGAATGATGACACTGATTTCTCCAGTCATTGGTTATTGTCCTGTAAGCGAGATGCTGAGTACGTAACTCCTTCCATCGGCAAGGGCGAGGAGGGCGTTGTGGGTGAGGGGACGTTCGGGCCAGAGACTGCGGTAGTGGGTCACTTGTAGGAGCTCTACGTGTATCGCATTGAACTAACTGCTCTAACACGTCAAAGGGGCGGCGACAGCCGCTGATCATCATCGTCATTTACGTCGTTCCGACTGCTACAGCCAAGGTTTCCGTCCGTCTCAGAAGTTCTCTGCTGTTCTTTGATGACGAAAATAACGATGAAACTGAAAATGGTGCCTTTCCTGTGCTCTATTCCCTCTTAGTCCTAATTGAGTGAATGGACCAGATGACCCAGAAAAAAAGGGAAAGAACGACTGGGACACTTACAAACGGAGAGTTAGCGAGCGACCATAGCGTGCAGACGACGTGACTCCGCACGTAAAGGCGGACCGTGCGACTAACAGCTGGATACTGCCTGCATTAATTTTAGGTAGAATACAGTCGACGGTGGCCCGACCGAAGACCACAGGGAGGAGAAAAAGCTCATTGCTCAGAGAATACGACGGTTGATACTGCAGCGTAGCTAATGTTGTCTGTCGGTAACCAGCGTTGACGCAGGTGGCAACACCGAAAAATTGTAGTAGGTGGTACACAATTTGCCCATTAGATTCATAGTGTTATTCAAAGTGAATGTGGATCGTGTTAAATCGTGGCTGATGATATGCTCTTTCTGTACGTTTTGGAAACTAAATTGAGTAAATCAAGTGTATTGACGCGTGCGGGCGTGTGTGTGGGCCGGTATATTTTATATGGCCCGATAGGTGTCGTGTTATGAATTTACTACGTAGCTAACTGGACATACTGGCCGTTCGGCAGTCCACAAATGACTGCTGATGAGTTGGAACTAAGAGTGAGATTCACAGGCGGATGTCATCGCTGGAAAAGGTTGTGAAAAAACAGGAGGAACAATCAGGATTGCCACTGGTGTTTTTCCTTTAATTTAGTAACGAAAGCGTATGATTATCAGACATTTGTATATGATCCAGGGTTTGGTGTGTATGTGTCTGTCGAGTTGGGATTAGCCATTAGCGTTACGTACTTGTCATTGGCCCCAGGTGAATGACAATCCTTGATCTATAGTGGTCACCAAACGGCGAGCTTAGAAAGTTAATTGAAAAGTGATCATTGTAAAAGGATAAAGATTAGATTTGAATTAACTGGAATTCAATGACTACACTCACCCATTCGCTGATTTGCTGTGCGGTGCGCGCAATCACTAAAAACAGCTATCCGTTTTGTTTGCCAGAAATGCCGCAGCAGCGCACCCTTTCAAAAAGACAACCTACGCCATTTTTGTTGTATCTTAATGACTTGTATGACAATATAT